AGGATAGTTTGGACTCTAACCTATTTGTGCTAACTAGGATACATTCTCTGAGTGGACCTCTGGAAAAGAGTGTCTGCTGAATGCTGTAAATGTGTAAATCATGTTGCCTCTGGACTCTGGAGCAGTGCAAACGTGTTCTCTGGAGTGATGATTCATGGTTCACTATCTGACAGTCTGATGTTTGAATCTGGGTTTAGCGGATGCCAGATGAATGCTGCCTACCAGACTGCACAGTGCCAATAATAATATTAGGTGGAGGCAGGATAACGATCTGGGCCTGTTTATCAGGGTTTGGGCTAGTCTCCTCAGTCCCAGTGAAGGGTAACATCAATGCTACAGCATAGAAAAACATTGGACAATTAAAAGCTTCCAAATTTGTTTCCCCAAACTGTGCCAGCATGACTGTGCCCCTGTGCACAAAGCAAGGTCCATTAAGACATGGTTTGATGATGTTGGTGTGGAGGAAGTCCAGTTGCCTGCTGAGAGCTCTGACCTCAACCCTATTAAACACTTTTGGGATGAATTGGAACAACAATTGTGAGCCAGGCCTTCTTGTTCTTCTCGCCTGACGTAACAAACGCTCTTTTGACTGAATGGGCACAAATTCCCAGAAACACACTCCAAATTCTTGTGGAAAGCCTTCCCAGAAGAGTGTGGGGTCTCCATATTACCGCCAGTGTTTTTGGAATGGGATGTCTAGCAAGCTCGTATAGGTGTGATGGTCAATTGTCCACACGCTTTTGGCCATATATTGCACTTGCAAGGTGTTTTAAGGCCACATAGTCACTGGAGACAACATATATTTTTAGATTTATTACTATTTCATCACAATCATCATTACATATAAACACTTAGAAGACACATGTAGGTTTTGTGGTCATTTTGGATAGTAGGTTAAATAGCTATATATTGTGTTATAAACACTGAGACCCCAGGTTCCTGTTGCCACCACTGTAAAGAAATCTAAGTCAGTTAGTTTCATCACAATGGACCATTTCACATCAAACTATAGGTGGGCAATATTACAATATTGTAACGTTATTGTGACAAATTGTATGATAAACAATATACTTTTCAATGCATATTGTGGATATAATCAGTGCTTAAACAACACTGAACACCTGCATGTTTAATTACAAAAAGGTGAATTATTTCTGCTTAACTGGAGACAGTACAGCAAATTTTATATTAAAATCATTAAAAATGTCTTTTAACATCATGATTATTTAACATCTTAACATTTGTGCTATATCACCTACATTAAATCACTCTGAATGACTGTATTTACTTGTGCAGAGGTTTGTGAAAATCTGAGACAGCGTTGAAAGGATCTAGGATGCTGTTAGAAGGAAAGGCTGAAGCCCTTGCTGATATTTTTCTACACAAATGTTTCTAGCACACTAAAAATGGAGAGAATACAAAATGTTTTAACTTCTGAATATTTGAAACAGCTAAAAATAGGCCTTTAAACTGTGAGGAATAGCACTCGCTGTAATATTAAAGTATGCTGGAGTTTAGAGAAAAAGCAGTTCATTTAAGTGTTTGTCCAGATATTTGGAGGCCACTGTAATTAATTAATAGTAAATTAATATAAAATTTAAAAATGACTCATAAAACTTCCTCTCTCAGGACTGTTGACATGCTTTTTTAACTACATGATGCGCGTCTCACTTCATATGTTAGTAGTGCCACCTAGTGGAAAGAGGACTAAATTACTGTTTAGTCTCATATCAGTGCTGCTGTGTAGTATTTTCGTCATGAAAAGTGCAAACACTTCTCAAGCGACTAAAACTAGCTCTAATTCAGAATTTCTCCATCGCATCCAAAGTATCAAAGTCCTACCCAAGTGTTTTCAGAAAAAAATTATATTTTAATTTCTCCTACTTACCAATATCCATCATGCTACATATTACACAAACACAAACTGAACTCTGTTTAAATAAAACTCAAATAATAAGTTAACAATACATATACAAAAGATTCTGTTATTTGGTGAATCAAAGTGAATTTAAATCAACATAATAGAGAAAGTAAAGGAACACTCCATCCAAAATTAAAAACTCAATCATCTAACGTTACGTCTGGTAGAAACACGCTTAATAGCATCCTACAGCAGGGCCACAGGCTCTGGAGTGAGATTTTAACTATCACTATATTGCCAAAATTTGTGAGGTCAGACACTGATGTTGGACGAGAAGGCCTGGCTTGCAATCTCTACTCTAATTCATCCCAAAGGTGTTCTATTGGGTTGAGGTCAGGACTCTGTGCAGGCCAGTCAAGTTCTTCCACACCAAACTCGCTCATCCATGTCTTTATGGACCTTGCTTTGTGCACTGGTGTGCAGTCATGTTGGAACAGGAAGGGGCCGTCCCCAAACTGTTCCCACAAAGTTGGGGGCATGAAATTGTCCAAAATCTCTTAGTCTGCTGAAGCATTAAGAGTTCCTTTCACTGGAACTAAGAGGCCGAGCCCAACTCCTGAAAAACAACCCCACACCGTAATCCCCCCTCCACCAAACGTTACAGCTGGCACAATGCAGTCAAACAAGTACCGTCTCCTGGCAACCGCCAAACCCAGACGGTTAAGTGTGATTGGTCACTCCAGAGAACACGTCTTCACTGCTCTAGAATCCAGTGGCGGCGCTTTACACCACTGCATTCGATGCTTTGCACTGCACTTGGTGATGTAAGGCTTGGATGCGGCTGCTCAGCCATGGAAACCAATTCCCTGAAGCTCTCAAGGCTGTTCTTGAGCTGATCTGAAGGCCACATGAAGTTTGGAGGTCTGTAGCGATTGACTCTGCAGAAACTTGGCAACCTCTGCGCACTATGCGCCTCAGCATCCGCTGACCCCGCTCTGTCATTTTATGTGGCCGACCACTCCGTGGCTGAGTTGCTGTCGTTCCCAATCGCTTTCACTTTGTTATAATACCACTGACAGTTGACTGTGGAATATTTAGTAGTGAGGAAATTTCACGACTGGACTTGTTGCACAGGTGGCATCCTATCACGGTACCACACTGGAATTCACTGAGCTCCTGAGAGGGACCCATTCTTTCACAAATGCTTGTAGAAGCAGTCTGCAGTCCTAGGTGCTTGGTTTTATACACCTGTGGCCATGGAAGTGATTGGAACACCTGAATTCAATGATTTGGATGAGCGAGTGAATACTTTTGGCAATATTGTATATGTCTCAGCCCATGTTGTGTTTTGGATGCTGGTGTGCTGGTCAACCAGCTTGGGTGTTACACCAGCACCAGACAAGCATAAACCAGTATGTAATGTGTGCTGGTCTGTCCTGTTTTTTCAGCAGGGATGATTTACACAAATGACAGAAATAACTCGTCAGATGAGGAGGACAACAAGCTGAAATCTACAGTTAACAACCTGGCCGTCTTGATACCTTATCAGAGAAGAGGTGAGGGGAAGAGCATTACCACTCAGTGATGTCTTTCAGGATGGTCAAACGCTAGAGGGCGCTGCCGAGCGAGTCAAAAATGAATGGGTAAAGCATTTGAGCAACATCATAGTTTATAAGCACTTAAACATTTTTATATAGAATAATGCGCTCATTTTCTGAACAAAGAACTACACAATACATTTTAAAACCGCTGTTAAATATTTTCAATACTTTTAAACTCCAGTTATAAAGACTTTATGACCGGCGAGCTTTTGGCTAACAGCTCACTGTAGCATTAGATCACATCTGCACTCTCTCACTTCCAGCACTGACTGACACAGTTCTTCCTGTCCTAACACATAAACACAGCTATGGGCTATAAATAAATATGTTTATCATTTGTCATACACTTTTATTATACATATTTATATACACAGCTATGGGCTAGCCCCGCCTTCACAATAAGAGTCCTTGTCAAATTAACTCAGAATATATGCTGTAGAACACATAAACCTAAAACGTACGTTTCTCTAACATGCTATAATGTAGTATATTTTTAGAAAAATGTTTATTATTTGTTATAATTTTTATTATAAATGTTTATATATGCAGCATTTATTCTAGGTATAATTCAACAAGGACTCTTATTGTGAAAGCAAGGCTAGCCCGTAGCTGCGTATATAAACATTTCTCAAACATGCTACAATGTAGTATATTTTTAGAAAAATGTTTATTATTTGTTATACCTTTTTATTATAAATGTTTATATACGCAGCTACGGGCCAGCCCTGCCTTCACAATAAGAGTCCTTGTTGAATATACCTAAAATAAATGCTGCAGAACACGTTAACCCAATACATACAGTTCTCAGACACTGTACAATATATTACATTTTTAAATTATATTTATAATTTGTTATTCGTTTTTATTATAAATGTTTATATACGCAGCATTTATTCTAGGTATAATTCAACAAGGACTCTTATTGTGAAAGCAGGGCTAGCCCGTAGCTGCGTATATAAACATTTCTCAAACATGCTATAACGTATTACATTTTTAAATTATGTTTATTATTTGTTATACGTTTTATTATAAATATTTATATACACAGCTACGGGCCAGCCCTGCCTTCACAATAAGAGTCCTTGTTGAATATACCTAGAATAAATGCTGCAGAACACATTAACCCAACACATACATTTCTCAAACAGGGTACAATATATTACATTTTTACATTTTTAAATTATGTTTATTATTTGTTATACGTTTTTATTATAAATATTTATATACACAGCTATGGGCTAGCCCCACCTTCACAATAAGAGTCCTTGTAGAATAAACCTAAAATAAGTGCTGCAGAACACATTAACCCAAAACGTACATTTCTCAAACAGGGTACAATCTATTAGATATTTAAACTATATTTATTATTTGTAATACGTTTTCATCATAAATATTTAAACGTTATAAAATAATATATTTTAGAAATTGTGCCTTATCACTTTATTTTGAATTCTGACTTCGTTTGTTTGTGGATCGTTTTGTGCGCAGCCTCGTTTTCCCCTCCTCTGCGCTCATATCCTCCTCGGCGATGACGCGCGTGAACGCTCCCCGCATCCTGCTCGCTACGCCACCGTCAGCGGGAAGGTGAGGAAATAAGATCCCGCAGTAACGTTACAGCGAACGGGCAGGCTATTTCGGATGAGCGCTACGTGGGAATAAAGAACAGAAAGTAAGAACTGTTCGCTTGTGTGGAAACGAGTGCTCTGATAGCTGAATCTGCTGCTGGAACCGAGCTGGCAAGTTCAGGTTTCATTCAGCGATTAAATGAGACGTGGCTTCAGCTGCTGAGCTCGCTGACTCCTTATCTTGTTAGGATTCTTGTCAGGAACTGGCTCTCCTCCTCTTAGCCGTTCGGCTGGGGGTATTTTTAATAATATTGCTTTATGACCGTCTTTTTTCACCCTAAATGCACAGCGCAGCTGGTTTAGCGGTGTGTCATATGGAGTGAGTGAGCTGCGGGGTGTGATGTGACTGTATTGTCTTTGGAAAACCAGCTGTAGCTTTAGAGGCTTTGCTGGTCTGTTACAAAGTGTCTTTCCTCTGTGAACACATCCAATTTACCACTGTATGCGGTTGTTTTTGATGGTCAAATTAGCCGAAGCAGCCTAAAAAGAAAACGTAGGGCTTTGTTTCTTTGTCCATTTGCTGTTTACAGAAGCCCCGGAGTGACCTGAAACGGCTCTCTATCTAATGGTGCTGGATGTTGGCTCTCCTCAGCAGAACACTGGCTTTGGTGAATCATGTATAGGACAGCAGTGCAGTGGTCAACCAAGCCAACAGCTGTTAGCCTTTTGGCAGCCTTCTACAGCCATGAAGGGCAATTTCACCAATTTTTCAAAATTTCTGAAGAATTCGGCCTGTAAGATGTAAAAATATTCAGTCACTCATTTGGTGTGGTTTGATGTGAAATGGCTTATCATAGAGAAACCCACAGACTCTGATTTCTTTACAGTGGTGATGGTAAGAACCAGAGGTCACGATGTCTATGCTGCAAATATGGGCATTTTATTTACTATCCAAACCACCAGTGAACCTACATGTGTCTTCTGAGCTCTTCTATGTAATGTTCATAATGATAAAGTCGTCACAAATCTGAAAATAATACGTTTTCTTTAGGGACTATTTTGCCTTACAACACCCTGCGTGTACCCCTCCACCATGAATAGATTAAAAATAAATGGATTCAAATACATTTTAAGCCCAAACTGTCACAAAACTATCATAAAACAATGTGTCAGACGTCAGGCAGCATATATCCAACCATGTTATGTAAGAACTTTCTGTGGGTTAGCGTTTATTGGTGGATGTCTGGTTCCTATCACCACCACTGTGAACAGTTCTGACTCTGCAGGTTTCTCTAGAATGGAGAATTTCACACCAAACCACTCTGAATGACTTTGTTTATATCTGATCCATTTAATTATGATGAATTTTTGAGAAATTGGTGGCGTTCTCCTTTAAGACAAAGATAACTTGCCTTGACATTCAAGATTATTTTTATACAGAGCACCGTTTCTCTCCTCCGGTCCACCTGTACTGCACTGTTTTGTGTTTTTCCAGCTCTAATACACCTGATTCAGCTCAAGGACTTTATCTGGTGATGTGACTCAGACCAAGAACATAGAAAACTGCAGTGCAGGTGGACAAGACTCACAGGCTACCTCGTATCAAAATAGTAATCCAGAAAGTTTAGTGTGTCAAAAATCATATTATTCATCAAACCTGGATAAAAAGTACCTGGATTCTGTACTACCTGCAGTCAAAATCTGCACTGAACTCTCCAGTGGCTCCCTTCTCCCTACTATGTAGGTCTTGAAGGCCAATGCAATGACTTTTGCACAAAACCTTACATAGTATATCAACAAAGGGGTCATTTGTGATTCAGCCTCATATGAACAATTGTTCGATTGATATTTAGTGTACCATTTTGGGTAAAAAAAGGCAAAACTTTGTATTTTTTATCCTGTGTATGTATACAGAGCAGTGAGCCATTTAAGATTCAGCCTGGGCCCAATTCAATCCCATAATCCCAGCACTACAGAGGGGCGTGGTCAGTGGCTGTTAGAGGATTTGAGAAGATTGCGGATTGTTAATAACAGAACGTTGCTGCTGTTGGAAGAAAACCTTGTATCTCCATTTTTGTCGTGTTTCAGTTTTTGAATAATTTGAAAATACCTGTTGTCCTTTACATTGTGTGTAAATTTCATGAAGAATGGGCCAAAAGAAATGACCCAAAATGACTTGTGTCTGGTTCCATTGACTTACATTAAAAGTAAAGTAGGTTTTTTCCTTCTCCTGTAAAGTTACCATTTTGGAGATACAAGGTTTTCTTCCAACAACAGTGATATGCTTACATACATGCATGTCACAAACTTATACTTACTTAAAATGTATTAAATTGCATACATTTTTGTACATGACGAGCCAAAATACAAGATATTCGCTGCATATCTGTCATCAGAAGTTCAAAGTTAAAGGTGGTAGGGATGACAAACTGGGATAAGTGTGGATAATTGTCTATATACATGTATATACATAAGGCGCTGATGAGTAGATTAAGCCCACCTGAGATCTGACCACAAGCTTCAGTAGAAGGAATAAAACTAAAAAAAATATAGTATAAGGCCTTATAATGGTCAATGACACAAATTTGCTTAAATTTGAACTGAGACCTAGAAGTAGTGCAGAATATTGAATAATTCCTGATTCTTTTATCTGTCATAATTTTTCAGAATTCTGGAAAGTTTCTGTTGTTTATTTGCAGAGTTAAATGAAAACAATCCTAGATTTTCAAAGTTGTCTCAGACTTTTAGACCCCACTGTATGTATATAGACTATAATTTGACAAACGTTTTTATATTTTTAATATGACAGTTATTTTCAAAATTTCGGCAAAAGTCAGTGATTGAGATTCGTCCAGTGTGGTTTAATGTGAAATGTTGCATTGTAGAGGAACTGACTGACTCAGATTTTATTACAGTGGTGGTGATAGGAACCAGGAGTCAACACAAATATAGCCATTTTATTTACTATTCAAAATTATAAAATAAAATAGAAATAATATTAAATCAGAAAAAAAAAATTTCTTTTTTGGAGCTATGTTACCTTACAGTCCCTGTGTGTACCTCTTGGCCATGAATGTATGCAGAAAAATGCATTTTATATCAATGGCTTGTCATAAAACAATGTATCAGGCAGCATATTAATAACCATTTTATGTAATAACTTTCTGTAAGGGAGCTTTTAGAGGCATCTGGTTCATATCACAACCACTGTGATCAATTCTGACTTGGTGAGTTTCTCTAGAACAAAGCATTTCATATCAAACCACTCTAATGATTTTGTACATCTTAGTGATTTAATTTTGCAGAAATCTAGACAAATTGGTGGAATTTCCCTTTGATGTGAGATTGTGTATAGATTTTCTGAGCAGACTCAGCTGTTTGATTGATTTATTGTTATGTTCATGCAATACTTTGTCCTGTTTTTTTCCTCCTCCAGTTATTTCAGTGTTTGCTGAATGCAACCACTAAATTTTGAAAAGTATGTGTGTTTCATTACTGTGTGATTTGCCCATAATGTACCCTGTAAGAGAATGAAATGCTTTTGTCTTGTTTACAGGACTGCGTAGGGGATATAAAGAGTATGGATGGCTATGGGTAGGTGGCACTTCATTCAAATCTTCATAATACCAAGTATGATTTCTTCAGTTTCTTCATTTTACAAAGATTTATGTTTTCTTGATGCGCTTTCATATGTTCCAGCTTCTCCAGCGATATGTTCAGTGGGCGGCCGGTTCTGGGCGAGGACCGCTCGGTCATGGCCCGCATGCAGAAGAAGTTCTGGAAGACCAAGCAGGTTCTGATCAAAGCCACAGGGGAAGAAAGAGGACGAGTATGTGGTGGCGTCTGACGCAGACCTGGACGCTAAGCTGGAGGTAAGAAGAAGAAAGAGCTAACATACAGACATGATACAGCTTTGGTCAGCCCTTGGTCATCTGCTCTTCTGTGGCGCTCCAGCCCTAACCTGACACATCTGATCCAGTTTATTAAGGCCTTCAGGGCCATTTCGAGGGTGGTAGATCTCCAAGACCAGGATTAGGCACCCCTACTCTTGGTTAATAGGTCCTAGACATATCTGTGAAAAGTTAAGGGACACTTTTCAGAATTTTTAAAATCCAAATTACATAGATTTTTTTGCCATAATATTATACATTAAATGCCCAAAAATACATAAATGTTCCTGCTAGTATGCAGACGGAGGCGTCCAGTGGGGCACACAGCCTATATAATCCCCATAGAAAAGTATTGACCAATAGATTGGGACATTATGGAGCAGCACATGAGCCTAAGGTCACCGTGCCTAATGCCATGTATCAGCTAGTTGGGTGTAAAGCCCCCAGCATTGGACTGTTAAGCAGTGGAACTGCATAATATAGAGTGATGGAGCTCCATTCAGTCCCTTTGGGATGAGTTGCAGTGATCCAGAACTAATCATCCAGCATCAGTACCTGACCTCACTTATACTCTTATGGCTAAATGTGATCAAATCCTCACAGCAATGTTCACACATGTAGTGTACATGCGTCCTCGATAAATAGAGGGTTTTATTGGAGCAAAGGGCGGACAATTACTCCCCATTAATACCCTGATTTCAGGATTGGATGACATATACACTGTTAGTAATAAAGGTTCTGTTCAGGTACATTTTTCATTTATCAAGGTACAAACAGTGTGAATGTTCCCTCAAAGGTACAACAGTGGTTTTAAGGTGTAATTGTGAACCTTAAATACATTTTTCCAGGTGAAAAGTACGTGTTTGTACCTTTTAATAACTGAATATTTTAAAACAGAACAGTAAAATAAAAGCCTGGAGACGAGACGGGGTGTGTGGAGTCAGTACAACCTAGAAAATATCATTTCAGTGGATTATGGTACAGTTATGTTCCCTGACTACAGGTACTGAGATGTACCGTTAAGGATGTACTCTTAAGCGACGTTTCATATCTTTATTTCTAAGAGTGTAGTGTATTTGATTATAGTTTGTGTGTAGTTTTCAACATTTGGCTTCAATGTCATTCTTGGTGTAAAAGTAGGTTTTTCCTAAATGATGGTTTGACATCGTTAGAAGCTTTTGCCTCAAAGGTGATATAAACACCTGAAAGCTTTAAGTGCCGACTGCACAACACGGTTGATTTTTTCATAGTACTGTTGTGTAGATATTAACACAACTAGGCCTGTCACCGTTATAACGTAATCGTCAGATTGCATTGCAGCTATTTAAGAACAACAAAATTAACTCAAATTTGGTGCGGTTTCATAAGTTGGGTTGAGAAAAATTCATGTAAATATAGGAAAACACATGACATGTTTTCTGAAAACAGCAAAGCCTTGAAGTTCTGACTGATGCTAGAACACGTTTAGAGAGCAGCAGGGAGTAATGTTTGTTTAATTGAGCTCGAGCTGTTTCTGTTGTCATTTGGGAGCTGCTCATTTTTAACAGCCAGGAACCAAGATGGCCAGTTTTGGGTTGTGCATAAGTTGCATGCTATGAACAAAAAAGACGACTACATTGAAAGTGCCAATATTTTATATAGCGGGCACTGTGTGCGCGGTAATAAGGCCCGGCTCTGTATATTATTCATTGATGGTGTTGCTGTGTTTCATTGATGCGTGTTTGCGATAGGTTGTGTTTAGCAAGATGCATGTTTTATTTGTTTGTGAGGGAGTTGCAGAAGATGCAATAGGAAAAGGCACAGTAGAAGCAAAGCGGGGTGAGAGAGGAGGGAGAGGGAAAGGCTTGTCTTTGGGCTGATTCTCCTGCGTTGTTGCTCCAGTTAGCCTCCCTATGTTTCATATAACAGTCATTCAATCTGAAAAGCCCAGTGGCTATGAGCAAGAGCCTGTCTGACTGCCTCTCTCTGTGTCTCTCTGTCTCTCTGTCTCTCTTTCGGTCTGTCTCACCCTCACCTCTCTCTCTCTCTCGTGCTGGTTATATCTGTGGATGTGATTGATAATGAGGATGACTCAAGGCGATCTTGTCTGGCTCTGTTTTGGGGCATCTGCTGCTCTGTACTGTCTGATAGCAGAGCGTTCGGTTCTGCCTCTGCTTTTGATTGTTTAGGAGAACAAAGAATGTCTTTGTTTCTTATTGATGATTTTCTCCTCTCTCCATTTTTCCTCATGCTGGTGTTTTCTCCGTGGACGAGCTGTGTAGTGCTTTAATGGACAAAAGGACGTGAAATGATGTGGGAAGGCCGCTCCCAAATGAATGAATGTGTTCTGTGTGAGAGAGAGAGAGAGAGAGAGAGAGAGCGAGGGAGTGAGAGAATGTTGTGATGTGGCTAGGGATGCAGTTTTGTAGGAATTGTAGGCCGGTGCAGATATGTGAGGGTGGAAACCTAGCTAGCAGGAGAAAATGGACATTGGGGGAGAAAATTGGGAAAAAATGCCAAAAAAAAAGAAATTAGGACCACATCTATCCGAATTAGCATTACTGATTAATATAATATTTATTCCTGTTGGGTTAAAATGCAGCAGAATGAATTAACTGTAGACAATTTTGCACAGTAGCCCTACTTCTTCTAAACGCTCTGGTCTAAACTGGCCATTATCTTATGAGTGTGGAAGGGGAAGCTATTTTCAGGCAAGGACGTTACCAGGCCTGTCACAGTTATTCAGTTAAAGAAAAGTTTGCATGATGATGATAATGCATATTTTCATTTTGCTAGCTACTGCTCTCTCTTACACTAAGAAACAGAACCTGATGAAACTCATTTTTTTTTTAAAATGAAAGCATTTTTTAGCTGCACCATGTTTTCTATACTGTACTGAGTATATATGTGTATATTTATTTGGTCAATGAGCATTTAAGCACTAATATTAGCATAAATACAAATAACGTTAAAACGTTAATATTATTATTATTTATTTCATTAAGTCTGAGTGTAAAATGTGCTTAAGCTTGATGTTTATCTGCACTTTTCTGCTACGCTTACTATGTGCTACAGTTGCGCTGTGCTATCTACCCTCAAGGTACATCCTGGTTTACAGATCATTTGGCAATTTCTCTAATGAATGAGCACACAGCATGACTCAGGTCTGTGTGATGTTAAACGGTAACTGGCCACTGAACCTCAACTGTAGCCTTGATGTCACTAAACTGGTGTCATTTCTGAAGATGGAGGAACGTGTTTTAAAAGTAAAGTCAGTCATTTTCTTCCAGCTAATCAAACAAGAACAGAGCTGGCATTTTTCCAGCAGTGTGCAGGAGGAGCTCTTCACTAGTAACACAAGCAAAAGGAAATAAAAATAGAACACCCTTCCTCGAAGCACCGTCATCCGTCTGTTTAAACCTGGAGAACACTATAAAACACAAAACATGGTTGGAGTCAGCTGGGAGGAGCCCTGAAAGCTAAAACCAAGTTTGCCTCTTTAGTTTTGTGGCTGTGAGGCTAATGGAAATTAGCACTGTGCAACCTTAATGCTTAAATCATCACACACCTGTTATGTAATCTTAAACTGACTTTGTATGTGGTTTCTGACACTGTATGACAAACTGTTATCCAGAAAACTCTGAGTACTGTGATTTTATCCATTTTATACTTCATCCAAGTTTTCAGAAATGCTAGAATTGTTAGAATTGAGATTTTCATTTGAACTGCATCAGAATTGTGTGTCCTCTTAATCACAGTGCTCTATTCTAGCAGCAGTGATGGTTGTAGGCTTAGCTGAAGCATCTGTGTGTGTGTGGCCTGAAGAGAAAGTTAATCAGTAACGTGTACACACTGCTCACCTGCGGAAGGTCACGCCAACGTCAACACACCCTGAAGCACCTTCTAAAAACTGTTTAATGAAAAATCATATTTTCCCGAATGTAGTCAATCACCAAAGACATTTTGTGTTTAAATGTTGCTTTTTTGTGTCGAAACTTTTGCTATTTTATCTATAAAAATGGGAATACGTATGTGAGTGATTCAGTAGCCGTCCATTCAAATGTGCCTTATTTTTGGTTTCTCAAACTGACAGTTAATATCATTACTTTTACCGAGTACAGTCATACGCCGCTGGTCTAATATTTTGCTGATTTATCTAAATAAAAGTACCTTTTGGATTCAAAGTCATTTTGTTTTAAATGACCCTGTACTCTAATTATACTTATTTTATTATAATAAATGATTGAACACTCCATTCTGTCATTTACAAAACAGTCTGAAACTTTAGCAATTGTTTCGGTAGTGACAATTCAGCTAATCTCGAGGATAACTTGAAAACGCTAGCCAGTAGATGATTAGCAAGCACAGCGTTGAACATGACAGTTCACTTAATTGCAGAAAATATGTTTCGGTAGTGACAATTCTTGATGTTACAAAAAAAAGAAAAAACCCACTTCGCTATAGACAGTACCATATAAATGATGATTTTATAAATGTTTAGCTTTTTGTGTTTTGGTGTTTGAATGTTGCTTTTTTGTGTTGAAACTTTTGCTATTTTATCTGTAAAAATGGGAAAATATATGGATAAATGTCTGTCTGGCCTCACGATGGCTGGTACTGCTGTGCTTCATACATTTGTTTTGTCCATAGACAAATGTTATAGATGACAGTACGTCCTACAGTGTCAGAAACCAAGTCTATTTTAGACCACTTAGCAACTCAGCACAGTTCAAAGTAGGGATGGGATGATAAGCAATTTTGAAAAATAGATACATCAGGATAAAGTTGTCTTTAAAAAAAAGTGGTTAAACTCAAATTGCTGAACGTGATAAAGAAGCAGGTATCGAGTAAGATGTATCATTATTGTTGATTGTGACGGCGCTAATTCAGAAGCCCAGTTGAATGTTTTTTAACATACCTGTACATTTTTCAAACCTACTGACAACCAGAACAGCCAATCTGATCTTTTTCAGTAGCTAATTTTCAGGTTTTCAGTGTCAGCATTTAAGAAAAGAGAAATAAAGTTGTTTTTAAAAAAAGTAATTTTAGTTTTCATGTGGGCCGCTATGCTTTGTAGTTATACACAGGTGGGCCTTGGGGTGAAAAAGTTTAAGGACCCCTGTTTTAAGCCATATTTTATTGTTTCTATCTTCTTTTTTGCTGGATGTTTAACGTAACACTCAAAATTAGTTTCATACAAACCTGTTTAATAATTTATACTGTACTGCCTGCGACTGAATGACTGTTTCTGATGGCCTTTTCTCCATGTAGCAGTGCACCAGTATGACAGTCACTCACAGGACAACTCACTGCTCTGTGTGTAAATGAAGTAAAACCAGGACTGGAGTTTCAGATCACGGATCAGAGCACAGAATGCTCATGTATACAAAATGAAACAAAAACAATGTACTGTACAACCATTTCATGGCTGTTATTAATAATTAGCGATAACTCTAAGTGGTCCCAACCCTAGTTTTAGGAGACTGTATGATGACTCAGGCATGCAGTCTGCAGCATTTCTAATAGGTGGGATATAATCTTCCATAACTTGTTAGCTACATTAGCTTTGTAGCTCCAGTACAAAACTAAAGAAGCTAACTTTCTACACGAAACATGTCTTAAGATAAATAAGATAAGTTAAGATAAGATAATCCTTTATTTCTCCCACAACAGGGAAATTCTCAGCAAAGGGAGAGCAAGATGCTCAAAAAAAAGAGTAACAAGAAGAGAATTAATAAGCAAGTAAATTAACCTTCTTAATTATTAGACAAGGTTTACTTTTAAGTTTGTTACTTCTTACTATATAGACAATATATATATCCTTCACAAAAATGTACAATATAAACAATTATAAATGAAAAAGATGTAGTCGATCTTGGCTGATCAGCTACATTTGAGGTCAGCAAATTAGATTTTTTTGCTTAAGTGTTGCGTTATTAATAAATTAAAGGTGAATTTAATCTGTATTTTAGTTTTCACTTTTTCTCCACGCAAACTCTGCCCATGCTGAATGTAGTACAGGATGTTCTCTAGCTTTGAGTAGGTAGATATTTGTACTTCGAAGAAAGATGGTCTATTTTTGCTCACTCTTTTTCGTTATTCTGCCTCGTTACTAGAGAAGTGCTCCTACTGTGTGGCGCAGAAGGCCTGTAAACAACTTAAATGAGAGCAACACAACCTTCATGACTCATTTATACAAGTTCCTCTACTCAGGGTTGAATTTCATCTCTTGGTAGGGCGCAGACACACACACACACACACACACGCGCACACCTGCATGTACCTTAAGCACAGTGGACTTAAAATGATTTGTCTCCATAACAACAAGACGAGCAAGGCTATTTTTTGTCTTCGAATGTGCCTGGCCCTTTTTTGGAGAAGGGTAGAGGAGAAGAGAGCGAGAGAGAATGAGAACACTGACTGAGGCTTAGTGAGTTGGCATTCATGAGTTGTCTGAGTATGTCCGACGTGGATGGAGGGAATATTCAAATAGTAGAAGAAAGAAATTAAAAACGTCTCTTTCGTTTTTCATGCACTGGCAACATTATGGACGTTTGTCACCAGTGCCTGACTGATGCTTCACTTGGCTGAATCTTTCGGCCAATGTTAAGGTTCCACTGGCAGAAATGTCTCTTGAAATGTTTATATAAGAACCACATTCAGGAATGTGATGCTGTTTTGAACAAAACCAACCAGACTGTTTTCCGTGAAGTCTTCAGCAGAGAGAGTTCAGCGTTTTGAGTTATTTGCCATTATGTTTCTCCTGTTCTAAAAAGCCCATATCCTACATTTTTGCGTTTCGTTTAGTGTGCTGAGGTCTACTTATGATGTTTTTGTGGTTTTATGTACCAAAAAATGGTCATAAATCATTTAACGTACCATTTTGCAACTTCTCTTTATGTCTTAGAATTAAACAGGCTGTTTTTGCCTCTGCTTCCTTAAGACTGATATATGTGAATTATTTCTGCCCCTGTATTGTGCCTAATTCTAAAAGCAGACCACATTGAAACGCTTTTTGTAACTTCAGTCTGAGTGAGCAGGGCAAAACTGTTATAGACTGAATAGGTGGATATGTGAAAATATGTTTGTTTGTTTTTTTTTTCATCGCCTCATGAAAGATCAGGTGTGAGCGGGAGATACTGTGTGTGTGTGTGTGTGTGTGTGTGTGTGTGTGTGTGTGTGTGTGTGAGTGTGAGATTCTTAATTTCTATCCGTTTGTTTTCTCTACAGTTCTTCCGTTCAATACAGACTACATGCACAGAGCTGCTGAAAGTGATAGAAAAATACCAGCAAAGAATCACATGTGAGTAGAAACATGCACCCACACACACACACACACACACACACACACAGACAGACACGCTGTCTATCTTCAGATTGCTCAGCTCCTGTATAGTGTTGTGAAGTCAATGTGAACTATTCAGTAGCCATCCATTCAAATGTGCCTTATTTTGGTTTCTCAAACTGAATGTTAATATTATTACTTTTACCAAGTACAGTCATACACTCCTGGTCAAATATTAAAAATGTATACTAAAATGAACAGAAAAATACCTTATTTAATTGTGTTCTCTGTAGAGTATTAACTTATTTTCACTTATTTTCACAACAGGACGTGTAATTTGATTGAGCGTGTTACAGTATTACTCATTCTAATAGTAGAAGCCTTGGCAGTAACTGTAGTGTTGACCGCTCTGCTCTCTGACCTGCAGACCTGTCTCAGGAGGAGAATGAGTTGGGCCTGTTCCTACGTTTCCAGGCCGAACACGACAAAACCAAAGCAGGAAGCATGATGGAGGCCACCAGCAAAGCCCTCTGCAGCTCTGCCAAGCAGAGGTACACAAACGCACACCCCAACACACACGTGTGATAATCTCACTCCTTCACTCGTTTGATTTCACACAATCTCACACACATTGCCTGGCTCACACACTTGTGCATCGGTCTACTTAAAGCAATAGTTCAGCCAAAAATCACATTTACCCAGTATTGCTTAACCCAAAAGTAGTTCATGAACGCATTTACTTGTACTTGGGTAATCAGATAATGTGAAAATTCCAGGTCTGCATAGGTCTTTGCAGCCCAGTAAACTCACAGAAGAAGATGAATGTGATGTAAAATTCAAGTTTCTTGTGGCAGCTTTTTTAAAAACCTAGTCACTTTACTAGCAAATCTGGATATAGATCATATATGTCATATATAGAGCAATATTTAGATTCTTCATTTCATCATTGAGCATTGCTCAAAGTATTATGTGTTCATTTTGCTGGTGCCATGTTAAACCCTGGTTGTTTCAGGGACAGCACTACCCTCGGTTTGCACACATGCGCAGACTAAAGAAAACACAAGAAAACGCAGGTCTATAAAAGGAATATCTTGAAATCTGATAATGGCCTTAATCTGATCTAAGAAACCGGACTATGCCGTTTACATGATCACTTGAATAATCAGATAATGATCGTATTATTCGTCTGCATGTAAACGCACTTAGGCTTTGGTGTCTGAAGTTTGCATCGGAGCTACAAAAGTAATGTAGCTAACGGTTCATGGAAGCTTTTAACCCAGCAATTAGCATCGTCCAAACTGAATGCTTAAGTCATTACATGCTTGCCTTAAACTGCGTCACATTGTTAAAAAACTGATTGACTAAATTTCGGGTGAGGGAAAATCGTGTAAGTTTCAACTTACGGTTGAACATTCGCAGACTGATTCCTGTGCTTGAAAATATATATATATATATATACCACAAGCTTAATAAATAAAGTAAGTAATAAATAAGTCATTAAAGTTATTATACATACTTATATATGAAAGATACAAGCTTGTGCAGACACAGATGCAGGTTGGGTCCAGTTTCCCAAAAGCATCTTAGTGTTAAGATCTTCTTAGCTAGGAGAGAGAGTGTTCAGTGTGATGCTCGCTCTACCATGTAAGAACCATCTTTCTGAAGAGATGCTTTGTACAGGCTGGCTCTGTGTCCCCCGCTGCATCGGATGGAGCAGGAGGTGGAGACGTTTAGGCGGCGGGCTATAGCGGACACGCTGCTGACGGTGGGCCGCATGGAGAAGGCCCGCACTGAGTACCGCGGAGCACTGCTCTGGATGAAGGACGTCTCCCAGGAGCTCGATCCTGACACCTACAAACAACTGGAGAAATTCCGCAAGGTCAGAATTTGAGAGAGAGAGAGAGAGAGAGAGAGAGACAGAGAGAGAGAGAGAGACAGAGAGAGAGACAGACCATAAGGGTAGAAAGAGAGTGAGATTCAGTATTTGATAGGATTGGGCATGGTCATTTGAATAAACAGATATCCGAACTCGTTTTAGCAATAATTTATTTAGGAAAAGTTTTCAGCATTTCTACATAATTCAGTGGCTGAGATTTAAACAAAGTCATTCAGAGTGGTTTGATGTGAAATTATTCATGGTAGAAAAACACTTTTCTTGTCTACAACACCAAAAATATAGCCATTTAATTTACTACCCAAAACCACCAGTGAACCTACACGTTTATGTGTAATATCAGTGATGGTAAAATAGTAGCAATACAGTTTTCTTTAGGTACTATTTTGCCCTACAACACCATGATTGGTTTAAACTAAATGGATTACAATACGTTTTGGGCCAAAACTTGATCACAAAACTATCATAAAACAGTATCTCAGGCCTCAGACAGCACATTCACAACCTCAAGGCAGCTTTCAGAGGAATTGTTGTCTGGTTCCTGTCACCACCACTGTGAACAGTTGGAGCATTTCACATCAGACCACCTTGAATAATTTTGTGTACATCTTAGCCATTGAATTATGCAGACATTTTGATCAGTGGTATTCTCTTTTAATCTGGTGCATTTGTACTGGTATAAATATGTGAAATATACCTGTAATATCAGAGCAAGTGATGTAGAATCTCATAATCGTATAAGCAGCTGATATCAAACAGAGGAAATGTTGCAGACAAAAAGATTGCAAATTTCTGCACTCAAAGTTGTGAGAGTTATCATTCTGTAGAAAAGGTACAGATTGATCTGAAATCAGTTATATATTATTTACCATATATAAACTACTTGTTTCTCATATGTCATTTAAAAGACAAAATGTTTATTTTCTTCTAATTTTTACTTAAATTTTGACTCTTGCCCGCCTCTAAGTGCATTCTGATTTTTTTAGGGCTGCAGCCATTAATAACTTGTTTTATCTGTCACAACTTCCACCTATCATGAAGTGAAAATGCTCAGCTAGTTAAGAGACCCTCCTTTATAACATGTTTGGCCTAGAAATGTAAGGAGATGTAAGGAAAATGAATTGTATCTGGATATTCAATTAGCAAAAATGATTTGATCGTTAGTATTTGAGCGTAAAGGAGTGTGATTAGGAGGGAGAGTGAGAGAGATTGCGTATTACAGAGTGAGATAAGGAGTATAAAAGTGAGAGAGAGGAAATAAAGGGAGAGCAGTAGGCATGGTTACTGCTGGTGTCGAGTGTCGTTGGCTTCAGTGGTGTTTACAGGCTGTGGGGGGTTGGAGGGGTTTTGGCCGCTCTCCGATTTCCTCTCTGGTCTGCAGGTGTAGAAAAGAAACAGTATCTCAGACCTGGAGACACCCAGACATTCAGGAGTACAGACACATGAGTGCTTTGTCTGGCTGTAACCAGGCTGACCCACAATATACTACGTATTAGAGTTGTGTCAGTGTGAGAGCGAAAGTAAATTCACCCTGAAATTTTTACAAGTAATTTATAGATGTTGATTACAGTTATTTAAAAGACAATGTAAAGCTTTCTCACAGCTGTGCATAGGCTTACAATTGTGAAAATAGTGAAAATACTGCATATAAACTAGATTTACAGTTGTGTGCAGAAGTTTGAACACCACAGGTCAGATAACATGTTAATTTTTTAAAATACCTTCTAAAGGGGAACAAACTTAAACGCATGAAAAAAAACTGAAAGAAGTAGCATTACTGAGTCAGGAAAAAAGAAAAAGGGCTAAAATATGGTGTCTGTGTGTCCTGCTGCGAGTCATCCTGTAAAGCCTGAAATAATAATTTAAACATCAGAGGTGTCGGGTCGGATTTCATTGAAGTTTTTCGGACGACGTAATACATCTTTATGTATTAACATCACATGCACAGACTCAAAAAAAAAGTTCCGGCTCGACGTTCAGGTCTCAAATGCAAAATCAACATTATACTGATGCAGATATGATAACAGTAGTAGATAATTCACTCACATCCTCAGAAGACACAGCCTTCACCAAGTTCTGACTGAGTTCTCTTTGAATACTCTTTCAACTAAAGATCTGCAAGGTCTGCACTGCCGCTGATTCCCGCAGGACCCACCACAATATCTTACAGCACGGGACTAATTTTCAGTGTTGTGTGCGGAAGTGGGCGGGAAGTGGGCCGAAGCACGCATGAAGAGAAATACTGCAAATGAATGAATAGCCTAAATGAAGTAGAACGAGCACTAAATCACATATATGTAAACAATATAAAATGATAACAGTAAAACAATTAAAATGAAGTTATTTTAAAGAGTTGCGAAGCAACTGATCATGTAAACAATGCGCAAATTCTCGTTGTTTGCAAAGGCAGCGGAGCCTCCAGTCCGACGCCCACAGCTGCCGCACCCAGCAAAACAACACAAATATCCGCCCTGTGTTTTAATTCCTGCTGTGTGTTTACTGGGAATAAATGGCTTTTGGTGATGGTACTTCACAGTGAGCCTGATGACCATGACTGCTGTGATTTTCAGCAGAGGATAATGTAGCTGTGAATAAACTGTCAGATAATGCCTTGATGGAACTGCGTGGGTGGAAGTGGGCCAAAATGTTTCGGTTGCGGGCGGGAGCGGGACAGATGATTCCTTTTTCTGCGGTAGCGGACGGGAGTGGGATGAAATCTTGTGGGATCAGGACTGAAGAAAAAACAGTCCAGCGCAGATCTCACCTTTCAGTGCACTTGCAATCATCAGATTCATTCGCTCAGGGAAGGGGTCTGAAGCACAACTCATGTAACACAATGTTCCTCCACGTGTTGCATACAGTTACACATTACCACCAGAGAGATCTCCAAATCCCAAAAACGTACGTAGTATAGATTTAACAAAATTAAGCGTAAAATGTGTCCCACGCAAAAGTTATGACACATTTTATATCTTATGTTTCATTTTTTCCAATATGTTAAATTCAGCAAATAAATAGAAATGTGCAGAAATTTGTTCTCTGTAGACAATGTGTTAACTTACCTTCACTTAGAATAAAATAAACAAAAACACATAATGGATCAGGGGCCCCCAGACTTTTGCATATAACTACATAAGAAGTAGGGGAGGGCAATTTATTAATATTTATCATAACAAAATACTTAGCATGTTGTTCTGAGCATATTATGGATATCGTCAGTACATTAACCCACTGCTTGTTTCATTACAGCATAATTAGGCCTATTTAGTTGGATTTTATGCAGTGCGGGGTGTGAAACTTTGAATAAAAATGATTATACTCTCTAAAAAGTAAATATTGGGATGCACACTTGTTTTATATAACAATAAACAGATATAAGTCATATATGGAGAAATGCTAATTTCTGAGCATTTTAAAAGTATCATGCATTTGTTCCGATGTTTACAGAGACTAATATTGTGCTTACTTGGTAAAAAAAGTAAAGAAAATAACAAAAATGTCTAATGTGCATCCAGGCCTAACATAAGAATAACATGTTATAAAGCTTTATGTGAACTGATAAATAAGAAAATTAAGATCTACAAAGAAAGAAAATATATAAAAAGTTTTATGCAGTTTGCTACAATTTTAAATGAAGGTATTTGAGAACTGAGTCATTTGTGACCATTCACAGTTGACAACTGACAAACATATCAGTAAGTAAAGCACTGTTTAATGTCTTTCTGCAGCCCCACTAGTGGACATTGTGTTGGCAAAATGGAAATTGACTCAGATATTTTGAATTAATATGATCAAATAAAATGCTTTTCTCCTTAACTCTGTTATCAGACTAACTTGGACGCTGTTGGCTCTCAACAGGGGTGGAAAGGGGTGGGGTGAGAACCTCCTGCTGTGAAAACAAATCACACTTCTCCACAAAAACTAGATAAATTGGAGCTGCAGCTTTCCTCTTATGAGAAAAGAAGAATAAATAATTTAAAAGCATTTTAAAATAATAAAAACACTTTTGAGGTTTCAAATTTAAAATTTGAACACTTATAAATGTTCATCTGCTTCCTCACCTACGATGACGAAAATTACACTTTTCCATCAAAATATATCGACATAATAATGCATTTTATGGCTACTATGAAAAGGGGTTTAGTAAAACTACTAGAGCCTGTTTAAATGGTGACCATATAACTGAAATCGGTTATCTAAATTTTTAGCTTTGTAACCCATTAAATTATAAATGATCTTATATGTTCCTACAATTCCTCTCTTAACTATATAACTTATAACATATTAGGTTCATATTTAGCGAATGTTTCATAGTACTCTGTTCTGTAAGTACTTAGGTACTGCTCTTATTAAGCCATATCATAGCGATAGTCTTTAAATTGCTTAATGAGCCCTTCATTGCTATTTTATTCAGCAGTAAAGGGTGAATAAAGCATTTTCCTGATCAATTTTTGTATTTTATACACACTTGTACAGTATATTATACACTATACTCTGTTTAAAGCTTAATAAAGGTTATAATGAGCACCTAAAATGTTAATAATATATCTTAATAATATGCAAACAAAAGTGCTCTGGAGAAAGATAATTATAAGCTGCTGGCCTAATAGGATAATCACAAAGGCATTATAATGTGTTACTAATAATTTTGTGTACAAATAATTTTAAAGTGTTACTATGTTGTAAATGTTAATGTTAATACAGGTGTTATAATTGCATCATAACTCATACTGCATCATTTAACATCATTTTTTGTAAACATATGTACAAGTTTGAAAATTCTTTTTTTTAAGTATGAAGCACCTCCGTATATTATAAAGCTGTGCCATAAAGTGGTGCATAGAACTACATTTCATACATCAAGAAGTATTTAACCTAATTTTGAGGAGTATTATAACTCATTCAGTCTTAAAGTTACAAAATAAGCCTGCAGTTTAAGGAGTTAAAATTGGAATCAGTGACAGTTTTCATATCGTTTGGGTCCTCTAACAACAGGCTTATGAAAGGCTGCTCTAAAAATTCCACAGCCACATAAATCAATTTTGATTTGACTTCATATTTATGAGGACGGTGAGGAGATATTTTTGCTAACTTTGCAGTTGTGTGGTTTACAAGGGTTGTGGAAATTAGATAATGGCCAGGACCCATTTTTGTTTCATTATGTGTTGCAGTGGAGGGTTTTGATGCCTGTCTGTGTCTGTGTGTGTTTGTGTATAGGTGCAGGCGCAGGTGAGAGGGACGAAGGTGCATTTCGATAAGCTGAAGAATGACGTGTGTCAGAAGGTGGACATGCTGGGGGCCAGTCGCTGCAACATGCTCTCTCACTCCCTCTGCACTTATCAGGTACCTGCACCATTTGATGACCATTCATTCCCTCTTTCTCTTTACTTCCCGTTTTCTTTCCATCTGTCTCTATTTCTCTGCCCTTGCTCTCTGCTGTCCATCTGTCTGTCTCACTCTTTCTCTCCATCTGTCATTTTCTATGAGTGTTATTCATAGCCCTTTCTCACAGTAGGTGGGTGTGCTTTGTGCCAATTGTAATCTGTTCTCTCTCTCTCTCTCTCTCTCTCTCTCTCTCTGTGTGTGTGTGTGTGTGTGTGTGTTTGTTTCTCTTAGACCACTCTGCTACAGTTCTGGGAGAAAACGGCACACATCATGTCTGGCATCCACGAGGCCTTCAAGGGATACGTGCCCTATCAGTTCACGACCCTGAAGGTGTGTGACGAGTGTAATAGAGAGAGAGTGAGATACTGACACTCAGTGAGATACTGAATGCAGTATACTGTGTTATGTGGGTCATTCTGCCATTGCAGTGACAAACGGGGCACGAACTGTGCTGCTGGAGTTTTTAAACACTGTGTCCACTCACTGTCCACTCTATTAGACACTCCTACCTTGTAGATGTAAAGTCAGAGACGATAGCTCATCTGCTGCTGCACAGTCTATGTTGGTCATCCTCTAGTCCTTCATCAGTGGTCACAGGACGCTGCCCACAGGACGCTGTTGGCTGGATATTTTTGGTTGGTGGACTATTCTCAGTCCAGCAGTGACACTGAGGTGTTTAAAAACTCCAGCAGCACTGCTGTGTCTGATCCACTCAGACCAGCACAACACACACTAACACACCACCACCACGTCAGTGTTAATGCAGTGCTGAGAATGATCCACCACTCAAATAGTAAATCCAAGTGCACCTATATAGTAAGTGGAGCTGATAAAATGGACAATGAGCATAGAAACAAGGAGGTGGTCATAATGTTAAGCCTGATCGGTGTATGCACCAATACATGTCTTTGTATGCATGTCATTCATATCTGTGACTGCTGATTGGCCGGATTTATTCAAAACATAAGCTCTAATGCTGATTGCTGGCTGTATCGGATGTGTTTGACTTGGAGGTTAGAACCAAGTACTTATAGCAAAATGTGTGGCAGCGGAGCTTAAACAAAAATGCTCGAAAACAAAATAGGAAATACTTTGTAAGAGCAGATTTAGTAAGCATGGAAAGAGGTACTCACATGGCTAACAGTCAGCAAAACACATGCTTTACATTACCGTGCACAGAACAACACACAGCATCTAAAATCTAAAAAGTTTTATTTTTAATGAAGGTGCACATGCTACCACCACCAGTCAGCAACTTCCAGCACTAATATTCACCATCTCTCCATTACTGCATTAACTAAAACCCAGAACCAGACCGCTAAAAAAAACCTCTAAAAAACATATAATAATAATAATATATTATAATAATATAATAATAGTTCACTGTGTTGTCAGCATGCATTAAAACAAACATCAATTTTGATAAATGTAGCACATTTGGCACATTTGGTGTCAGTTAACTCCTTACAAACTAAAAGATAAGAGGTGAGATATGACTTGGCTAGTTACATTTGCTAAGGTCAAAAAGACAATTAGTCCTATAAACTACCTTTTTAGTGTAAATGTCAAAACCTGTCCGACTATGTTTTTTAGAGGTCTGGTTCTGGGTTTTAGTTAGTGCAGTAATGGAGAGATGGTGAATATTAGTGCTGGAAGTTGCTGACTGGTGGTGGTAGCATGTGCACCTTCATTAAAAATAAAGCTTTTTAGATTTTGGATGCTGTGTGTTGTTCTGTGCACGGTAATGTAAAGCATGTGTTTTGCTGATGCGAGTACCTCTTTCCATGCTTACTAAATCTGGTGTCCTCATTAGTCAGGAGGGAACTCAGCTGTGTCATGTTGCTGTACTCATTTTATGGATTTTAACTACACCCTTAAGGCCCACGACCACCTGTACCCCCAGGGCACATGAGCAGGTTAAAGCCCCCAGGGTATGTTGATGGGTAATGCAGGTGTAAAACACTCTGTGATACTGAACATCAGTTGGAAGTTGTAACAGTTGTAACAAATTTTTTACCACTTTTCTCTCTCAAAGATTATTAGCGGTCGAGCTTTCAGTGCATAGTAATGATTTGTAGCTGAATTTAACAGAAATATTAAAAGAAATTATATTATGTGGACTGGACTTATTTTTTCTTCCTGTGGGATATCCGTACAAGAAGTCATTAAATTTATTTTCTTTTTTTAAAATGACATGTTATGTTTTTGTAACACCACTGACCAAAAGTCTTGTGAAAACATTTATTATTAAATAAAATTAGGTATTATAAATAATTTTAACATAGGACAGACAACAATTTGAATGCATTTTTACTATTTAAATTGAAAAACAAGCATTGTTTCACATAAAAAATAATACTTCAGCATCTGTGAAGTCACTGCTGTGACGAGCCTGTTTTCCTTGCGTACGATAACCAAAATCACTGAAATCAACCTGCTGTTGTTTATTCTTACTTTTAGCTCTTTTTCATGGCTTCAAAGTTGTGGGACACCATTTGTCACTACAGTGGTAGAATAACCCATGTCATCGTTGTCAGAATAAAACCTTTTCCTTCAAGGACAAAACAATCTTGACTTTTAATGGAGGTTTATACAGAAATTATTTATTCCAAGTAATTTTGGATCATTTCTGTCGCTCCGTTCATCATTAAATTTTGATAAATAGTAAAGAGCAGGCAGTTTCAAATTATGTCAAAAAATAAAAAACTACAAAAACGGAGATGCAAGATTTTGTCTCGGTAGTGAAGATTGCTGTGTAATACACTATGCATAGCAGTGCAGTGGTATTGTTTGTCTGTGGTCTTTATACTCTAACAGACTCTTTATGGTTTTAGGAGCTGAGAGACCCACTGGAGAACCTTTCAGAAATCCAGTCAGAGGACAAAAAGGAGAAAGAAAAACAGACTAAAGCAGACAAGTGAGCATATGAACATTTACCCTCCTGTCACCAGAGCTCTCACTGTTTCTCCTCACTCACAACTCTTTCAGAAACCCATACACCACATGGGGCTTCTCTTTCACCCTCGTCATTCTTATCCCCTCATTTCTGAATTCCTCTGTTCTCTCATTTCCTTGCTTTTCTCTCAGAGCTGGCCTGTTCAAGCGAGAGGCCTCTTTGAAGGCTGTGCTCACTGACCTGTGAGTGGAACTGCGTGTGTGTGTTAGGACTGAGCAAAATGGCCAATAATCGTACTACAATATCTGTGTTATTCGATGTTGATAGTTATTTATATTGTCACTGATGGAACAAAACCTTTATCTCCAACATAAAGAAACATTCATAACTTTTAATGCATGCCAGTGCAACAAGATTTTATTGCAATTAATATATTTCTATTTGTCTATTTCTATTAGTCCATTTATCTTGAATTATTCACACAATGTAAATACAACAGGTGATTTCAAATAATGTGATTATTATTATTATTAGTATTATTTATTTTTCTTTTTTTAAGTGTTTGTCCTTACAGTGACTAATTATAATACGTAAATAATATATGCGCTGTTAACTGTTTATTAGGAGCTAGTCATCACTAGCTAGTAAGCTAGCTATTTGGGAGAGTTAGCTTAGTAGCCAGCTAACTCTCCTTACCATCCTGCTAGTTTGTGCCGTGAAAGGATAAACTTCCTTCCTGTCTATCAAATACACTGATCAGGCATAACATTAAGACCACCTCCTTGTTTCTACGCTCATTGTCCATTTTATCAGCTCCACTTACTATATAGGTGCACTTTGTAGTTCTACAATTACAGACTGTAGTCCATCTGTTTCTCTGCATACTTTGTTAGCCCCCTTTTACCCTGTTCTTCAGTGGTCAGGACCCCCATGGACCCTCACAGAGCAGGTACTATTTGGGTGGTGGATCATTCTCAGCACTGCAGTAACACTGACGTGGTGGAGGTGTGTTAGTGTGTGTTGTGCTTGTACGAGTAGATCAGACACAGCAGTGCTGCTGGAGTTTTTAAACACTGTGTCCACTCACTGTCCACTCAATTAGACACTCCTACTTTGTCAGTCCACCTTGTAGATGTAAAGTCAGAGACGAAAGCTCATCTGCTGCACAGTCTCTGTTGGTCATCCTCTAGTCCTTCATCAGTGGTCACAGGACACTGTTGGCTGGATATTTTTGGTTGGTGGACTGTTCTCAGTCCAGCAGTGACACTGAGGTGTTTAAAAACTCCAGCAGCACTGCAGTGCCTGATCCACTCAGACCAGCGCAACACACACTAACACACCACCACCACATCAGTGTTACTGCAGTGCTGAAAATGATCCACCACCCAAATAGTACCTGCTCTGTGAGGGTCCATAGGGGTCCTGACCACTGAAGAACAGGGTAAAAGAGGGCTAACAAAGTATGCAGAGAAACAGATGGACTACAGTCTGTAACTGTAGAACTACAAAGTGCACCTATATAGTAAGTGGAGCTGATAAAATGGATAATGAGCATAGAAACAAGGAGGTGGTCTTAATGTTATGCCTGATCGCTGTATGTAGCCACCTGGTGCATGCAAGCAGCAAGGCCTTTGCTGCTAATGCTAGATTAAGGAGCGGAACAGCATAATCATTTTATAAGTACCTAAAGCACTCAAAATGATTTGATCTTGATGATTATCCTTGTCGTTTTATCGCCCAGGACTAGTGCCTGTGTTCTTTTGTGTGTGTCTTCTAGACTCTGTGCTTAGAACCCAGAGTGTCTCTACATTCTAAGAATGTGGAAAACTGATATATATTCAAGGAGCTGCTGGTAGAACTGTGTGTATGTGTAGGTGCTAGCCTCTGATGCACAGGAAAGCCTAGACTTAATGGTCATTCTGCCTCAGGAGACCGAAAGGGAAGTGAGTCAGTAGATTAGCTTCTGTTGCGTGGTAATATGCAGGCTGTACAGTAGTAGATCCTTCCAGTCACCTACACAGCACCAATAAAGAAACATGCGGACACCAACTTAATATGTGTGTCTCGCGCCTTAATGTAGAGCATGTCTTTGTTGTTGGTGTGGAGGTGTGGAAGCCATGTCCCAGGTTTTAGAATGAGATGTTGTAGAGTCATTGTGACTTGCTTATTCAGAATCACCATCCATTCATCCATCCATCCATTCATCCATCCATCCATCCATCCAAACATCCAAAATCCCTGTCTGTTTTTTGCGAACTATAGATTAAGGTGGATGTTTCTTGTCTTTCAGTCTTGTGTCCCTGGAGGATGACAAGTCTGGGGAATCAGCCTCTGAAGCTGGTATGTACCAGTCAGAATGCTACTTTGCTACTAATGATGCTTTGAAAGCTCTCACAAAGGCTGATGATTGACAAAATGTGCTTTTCCTGCAGTTTCTGCTCCAGACGTTGATGGTCAGAACAGAGACTCGGACAGCTCTTTATGTGCCAGCTTGGACTCGGGTAAGAGTGCAGTGTAACCTAGACAGTAAGTGGTGAGCTTCTGTATGTGTGTGGATAAATACAGTATCAGAGCTGTAGAGGTCCTCCAGCCACTCAGCCTGCATCTGCTTAGTAATAATACTTCAGCAGGGAACTTCTCAAGGAATTTCTCAAGTTTGGTAAAAAAATCTAATTTACATCATTTTCGGTTACGCTTTATTATCCTTTTTCTTTATCCCTTTATTCGTGTAATTTACTTGCTTATATGGTTTCTGATGCTGTATGGTATACTCTTATCTAAAAAATTGCTCCTACTGCTGTTTATAGCTATGTGAAGTACTTTTGTCCATTTTTATAGATAAAATTTGTCCTGATCCATTTTTTTCCTTGGGTATATTGAGTATCACCCACTATGAACAGCTGCCAATTAGTAGTACAGTAAAAATTAACTTTTAGTATGTGCATAATACAATATTTGGGACTTAAGTGTTTTGTTTTTTGACACACAATTTTTATAAAGTTTATAGTGTGTTCAATGCTTGACCTGAATTCACTTGATGTTTGATATGTGCCTAGTGGTATACACTCTGAACTCATATCTTATTTTTGTGGACTATTTATATAAAATAACAGTTTTTACTACAATTTATTGCCCAAATGCAAGCAGTAGCCTGATCTTTTCTTTCAATTTTGAATGCACTGTGTCTGCTAACACTGGTTTAATACCAGAGGCAGGGCAGGCGGTTAAGCATAAGCTTCCACAGTAATTTTGTTTTCAACACTTATAAAGTAAACACATGACGAACAGTAATGTATTTGGTACATGCCTATGGTGGCTTGAAGTAAGTGACAGAGGGTGGACCTTAAACTTAATAGCTGCATGCGTGTGTTTTACTCGTCGCATTGAGATGAAACCTGGCAGACATTGAGATATTTTTGTCAACATCTGACAGTGCGCCTCACTGCTGCAGGCAGATAATGCTTGTTTTAATGCTTGTTTTTGTCACTTCCACGACAATGACGTAAGTAGAATTAAAAAAAGCAAGCACAAAAGATCGGAATTGGTACCCTGATACCCAAACCATTAAAATATGACTGTCAGCTCAGATCCCTTATAAAAGTATGTCGAAGTGTCTGAAACCACATAAGCAAATTTGTGTAAGATGACTTGACAACTTTGGTTTGAAGCAAGTGATTTGATATTATGCTGAACTATTCCCTTAATGTTAAGTAATATGATTAATGAACATATTAGCAGCATTATCTATATTATTTTACCATATCTGTGCAGCCTCACTTGAACCCTCAGGCATTGTGAGTGGAGTCAGTCCAGATGATGACCTCTTACTCATGACCCCTGACCCTGCCCCGACCCTGACCCCTGCAGTACCTATACTGCAGCCCCAGAGCTGCCCAGAGGCTGCACTGCCCCCTGCTATCCAGTGGGACTCCAGTTTCCACCAGGGGCAGAATCCTGAGGCCTTTCCCAGCATGCCACTACCTGAGAAGGGTATAAATCCAGACCTGACTGCCTCTTCTGGCCTCAACTGTCCTACAGCCTCATTCACACCTGTCCGAAATGTGCCTTATGCTGACCTTTGCTAATCTTTAATCCCTTTGCTCTGCCTTAATCCCAGGATTAAGTCATGTCCACTTGTCTCTGTGCTGGAACATGGAATGCAGCTCTTCTTAAAGTGATAGGTTATTAAAAATTCCCTTAATAGGCCTCTGAAGTCGTTTTGTAGTTGGTGACACGCCCATTTAAGTTACCAACAAGTGGTAAAAATATTCCAAGGTCGATGTTTTGTCCTATATTTTTTCTTCAAATGTCACTGGATCTTCTGAATTATGCGGTCATTCAAATACAAATATCGCTATCTGCAGGCTAATATTGCTGCACATTCAAGTCAGTAAGACTTAAATGCGCAAACATGCCGGAATATCCCACGCAACCCAACAAGCTTTTCCAGTGTGGTAGTTAAGTTGCTTTAGCAGTAGTTGCCTACAGTTTGAGTAGCTGGTGTTGGTATATAATAGAGCTGAATACAATGTTTAACAATTTGCAGGAATGTAGCATGGATTTAGCAATATTCCTATTTCGGTACCCTAACAACCATTTTTGTTTACTAGCGCTTACATTACAGTTCCTAATATGGGCATGATGCCGACTTCAGAGGTCTATGTAGTCAACCAGCCAAACCATAGTATCTGAAGTTTGCTTCTTTAGTTGTGCACTGGAGCAGTGAGTCCATTGACAAGAACAGGTAACGGAAACTTTGAATATAACTTAGCGTCATACAAACTGCACGCTTAAATCATCACACACCTCAAGGTGTGTCAGGTTGTTAACTAATTACAAATACTGTTATAATGTACTAATGCTTAAAAGTATTTTGCATATGTTACATAATTTGAGCCTTTTTATGTATATAACTGTGTGTGTATGTAAAAGTAAGCCTATTTGAGGTTACTTAATGGTTTTTCTTACACTTTCATTACTTTTTTGCTATATTAGCTTCAAAAAACTAAAGTGCAAAACTAAAGAAGCCTACTTTGGACACCAAACCTGCTGATTGACTGCATCTGTGGTAAGGGAAAAACTGCCTAAACTCACTTTAAGGTGTTCTGAAACGCACACGCTGCTCTTTCCTTCTCACTTTCTGACCCCCCTCAACATAGGCTGGCTGGAGAGTTCAGATCTGGGCCCGCTGCCTTGCTTATTATGTCTCGCTGCCACTGACTTAAAGTGGAATCTGGTTGTCATAACACTGTGCAAATACTTTTTATATGCTTTCTGAAATTATCTGTTCTTTCCGACCTGTTTCAGAGGACTCTGGAACATTTTTTTTCCACTTCTCCATCCTCTGTTCCACTCCAAATGACAGTCTCTACATTTCTCCACCAATTTTCCCCTGTTTATTTCATTTATTTGAATCCTCTATTCTCTCTATTCAGTGCAGTTCAGTTTAGTTAAATAAGGTTTATTGGTTCTATTAAATCACAGTATTGCAAAAACATCTCTGAAAAAACTGAAAATAATCAAAGAACTCTGTCTCTAGTTGGCAGGGACCTGCTGTCTGGTCTTACCCTGCAGTCTGGCACTGAGGATGAGGATGGAGAGAGGGGTGATCTGTCGTTTCTGCAGGACCTGCTGAGCCCCGGAGCCTCCAGTGGTGGCGATGACTTCAGCAAGGCGTGGCAGGATGCTTTCGGCTGTTTCGAGCCCCCTGCAGCCGCTCCCTCTACCACACACAACCCTGCGCCAAGCAACCCCACAGCCCCTCACTCCCCGTCTCATTCCACGAGCCCCACTGGCTTCCTGCCTTCACAGCTCCTCGACCACAGCCTCAGCACCACAGGTCAGAATCCCCTACATGGTTTTCTTCCTCTGTTGCACTGCTACCTGCTGGTGGGAGGAATGTACTGCAGTGTTCTGAGTGCCATAGTAGGATCCTTGGATTCTACTTCATTTTTCAATTCCAGTTAAATCTTCCCCATGTTTCCAATTTTAAAATATGATTGCATGATTTAATAGCATAAATGAACAGAAATACAGCAAAGTGCAGTTTTCAGGACTATGTAAACAAGTGTAAACACTGCACTGATATCTATCTGATTCAGAATAGTCGTTGGAGTACTGCTCAGCCCTAAACTGGACTAATAGTATTGCCTTAAACAATTTTTTTATTTGGATTGGCTGTTACCTATATGTAATTAGCTAAACTAGCATGCTGCAATAAAACCAGCCAATATGTGAAAAAATAATTAAATAAATAATTAATAATTAATGTCAAAATGGAAAATTGATGTGTGAATTCCGTAAAATTCATAAAAACAGAATCCAGAGGGCTTTTCCATGGTTATGGACTCCTACAAACTGTTTCACACTCTTTGTTGATCAGGATGGGTGACTCCACCTATGTTTCAAGCTCCTCCCCTTCTGCCCCCTCCCACTGGCGGTCAGATCCCAGCTGCCCAGAACAGCCCCAGAACGTCAGCTAGTGGTACGCATCCCTGTAATCAGAGCAAATGCTTTTTAATTCACAAATTCATACAAAGAAATAACATTATTACTTAATAGCTTATTTTTTCAATTTTCTTGTTTTTCATTGTTGTATCTTTCTTTGGCTGTGTCTCCTGCTGTAGCTCCGAAAGGTGGCACCAGGGACATGTCTGCTTGGTTTAATCTGTTTGCTGATCTGGACCCACTCTCCAATCCAGATGCTATTGGACGAACTGATGAGGAACTCCTTAATGCCTGAGGTGTGTATGTGTGGCCCTGTTCACACCTGGCATTAACGTCTGCAGGCCAGTCAAAATTATTACACAATTGCCTGATTGCAAATATGAGAGCTGACTGCAGTTATTTTCCACAGTTGTTAGCTTTCGCAATTGTATATTTATTTCGCAACAGAATGTGAATTGGGTGTGTTTTCATCTGTTGGGTTGAGGAGAAAAACAAGAAAGAAAGCAGAAAACACATCTAATTTGGTGTCTAAAACTGATGCTATTACATTTTTACTCAAACCTTCTTCAGAGGTCAGTGGTCAGGATATGTACATGACACATAAGGTTTGTAGGGTCTAAGGACCACCTTAATTGGCTGCGTCATCACAGCAGAGACGAAATCCTCTTTCTTAGTCTCCTTTCAGGTTTGTTTAGAAGTTGTATTAGTCTAAATGTTTATTGACATAGTTTACTGACATAGTAAATGTGCACAGAACCCTTTCTCCAGTCACGAAATCCGATCAGAGGTGGTCACTGGAGACACTTTCCTGACACAAGGGAATTCCATATGTATATATCGATGTCCATTTGTGGTCAGCTCACTCAAGAAAGATGTTACTATCATATACTTGTGTGTTTTATAGTTGTTACCACTATGATGACCTTTTGAAACCCCACCTGATCTTCAGCATAGACTGTTCTTGATTTCTTGTTTTGATAGCGTCAGCCTTGCCCCATTTTCACACTAGCTGAGTGATGGACGAATCATAACAAAGATATAATGGGTGGTCTGTCTTTGAAATGCTATTTACCTTCGCAGTATCACTGCTAATAAGGTCTGTCCAATCTGTGATGTTGATTTTCAAGTGTTTTGCAGTTGTATTGAAATCAGATGTGCAGGAATTAAGTTCTGTTTTAATTTTTTTTGTTTTTCTAGAGCAGTGGTTCTCAAACTGGTCATCAGGGACCCCCAGATTTGCTCCAACCTAACTTGCAACATGTAATAATGGTGCAAAATCCTACACTGACTGGGGTTTCCCTGAAAATACGTTTGAGAACCACTGGCAAAGAGGACTGCTCAGTGTAGAGTATAAGGTATAAAAAGCCTATCTACACCTGATTTGTATGTGTATGTCTGAGTAATGTATACTTAAACATGCAAGTAATGACCACCAGAGGGTGCACTAGCCCTTTTTAGCCCTCAGTGGTCAAACATAAATTGTTTTGACAATTAACAAGGATGCTGTAGTTCCAAAAACTGGCCAGGTGTTGCTTAAAGAGTGAAATATTTATGAAAAACTTTACATTAATAACATTGTTTTGGTGACCATGGGAGTCCCACCTGCTGAGCTGGTCCACTCTGACATCATATGATGCAGGTTATATGCTTATCTACTGCAGCAATAGCCTCTCATTGTAATGGCAGCATATTTAACACCTTTTTATTTAAAACCTTATTTCATAGAGTGGTATTTGCAAACTTCTGCCTATGGAACAGCATTTATGACACCACACAGACCATCTCAGTCGAGGGACCACACCAGTTCATTTGTAGCAAACAAACAGATTTGTTAAAGGGCCCATATAATTTTCAGGTCTTATAAAAACGATCACTCCCCAGTCCATACGGTCCTTATATGCAGAAATAGCCTGTTTGAATGTATTGTTTTTGTGATGTGACAGAAGCCAAGACACTTGCATTTACCCGCCTACAGCAGTTTAACCCTGCCCATTCACACTGTACTTATAAATAGAGGTGCAACACAGGACAGCCAATCACAGCAGAGGTCTTTTACATATGTCATATGCATGTGTTACTTAAATGTATAGTAAAATAAACAGCCTATTTCATTATAAAGGTTAAATTCTTTAGCATAACGTAATGATTCTGTTTAGAGACTATTTTGCACACAGTATAATGTGTGTACCTCTCTTCAGTGGATTTTCAGAGCTACATTTTAAAAACCTTAGCACACTTAAAACTGCGTCTCATGTAACCATTTCATATAAAAACTTTCTATGAGGCATTAAACTCTTCAGACATCTGGTTCCTATCACCACCGTGAGCAATTCTTCATTTCGTTTCTCTGGAATGGGGCCCTTTAAAACACTCTGAGCCATGTTATTCCCCTTTAAGGGTAAAGAGGGACTGAAAAATGGTCATTTTGTCCACTCTGTCCACTCACTGTCCACTCTATTAGACACTCCTACCTTGTCAGTCCACCTTGTGGATGTAAAGTCAGAGACGATAGCTCATCTACTGCTGCACAGTTTGTGTTGGTCATCCTCTAGTCCTTCATCAGTGGTCACAGGAAGCTGTTGGCTGGATATTTTTGGTTAGTAGACTATTCTCAGTCCAGCAGTGACACTGAGGTGTTTAAAAACTCCAGCAGCACTGCTGTGTCTGATCCACTCGTACCAGCACAACACACATTAACACACCACCACCACGTCAGTATCACTGCAGTGCTGAGAATGATCCACCACCCAAATAGTACCTGCTCTGTGAGGGTCCATGGGGGTCCTGAGCACTGAAGAACAAGGTTAAAGGGGGTGTAACAAAGTATGCAGAGAAACAGATGGACTACAGTCTGTAACTGTAGAACTACAAAGTGCTCCTATATAGTAAGTGGAGCTGATAAAATGGACAATGAGCATAGAAACAAGGAGGTGGTCATAATGTTATGCCTGATCGGTGTATAAATAAATTCGACTGTTTTTGGTACATAAAACCAAAAACGTTATAAATGGACCTCAGGGGGAAAACGTAAATACAAAGAAAAATGTAATATATGGGCCCTTTTAAAAGAAGAAAGAATACAAAAAATCCCAAGGCAAGAGCTCACAGGCATTCTTAGAGGGCAAAATATGAAGGGTCATCAGGCAGTAGGCAGTGTTGTTCCCTGAGATAAACATCTCATAAAATGTCTGACACTAAACAAGCACTACTGCAAATTATTTGCTAAGCTTTTGTGAATGATTGGACAGAAATATATTAGCATTCCAGCAAATCAGGGCATATTGAATATCCTTCTTTTAGGGCATTAAGCCTTATAAAGTCAAGTGGCTTGTGACCAAGAACCATGCTTCTAATCTGTTCTGCACTTACTTTATAAAGGATTCCATCAGGACTCACCACGTCATCACTGTACATGAAGAAAAGCAAGAGCTGGACGTCCCCTCTACCAAAAATGAGTCCCACCGAGCCAAGGATACGTCCGGATCCACATTCCTATATTCTAGATCTGGAATATTTCTTCATTGTGAGGGGGTAGCTCTCTCTGTTTCTGTGTGTGTGAGTGTTTGTGCTATTCTACTGTTCTTTTCTTTAGGGAAACGTGGGTTTAAAAAGGGTTTAAAAAAAAAAAACTGCACTAAACACATATCGATCACATATTGTTGAAATACGACAGCCTGTTACGGTTGAAGCTGTCCGAAGAGCACATGTGGAGGGAAATGAAGTTAGACGTTAGTGTGTCACTAATTTTCTCCCTTATAAGGGACCTACAGTGTCTTCTACACTGTATAGCTACACTCTTCAATCTCTGAGTTTGTAAATAGCCACTATCTGTCTGTATTATGTACTGGAAACCTTGAATGTCCAGAAACAGGTTTGAAGAATCAGAAGTGTGTATTTTAACTATGGATATTCTAAACCAAGAGTACATTCATTAAAGATATTTATTTTTAGGGACCCTAAGACCCTCAGGCTATTTTCATTAGAGTGTATTTTCCTGGCCTGGCCTGTGCGTCATGATCTGTTGGTCAGTTTTTAGATGTGTGGTATAGATTTAGATGTAACTACAGAGTAGACACACTCTGCCCTAATGATATGGATAGATAACCTGCAAAAGAGTTAAGCGCTAGCTGACTTTCTCAGTGGTGTGTTAAAGGAATAATTCGGTCCATAATGCTCATGTTGCTAACAGTGAATGGAAGTAAATGATGACTGATTAGTTACCTAATTTACATTGTGTTAATTGGTGTCTGCTGACTTCCATGTATTGTTAGCAATGTTAGCAGGCATGGTTGAGCTGTTTCTTTAACACTTGAATTTGGTGTTGATAATAGATATGAGGTGCAACTCGTATAAGTTTTGCTGTATTTTCAGAGGATTGTTAAGTTTGATCTCTGGAGATGCCATAGCAAACAGAAGGCCTAACTGGCTTCACTTTCTTGAATGGCCCTGAATGGCCCTACTTCTCCTCTTCACTCAGTGTGATGCTAGCCAATGTTTATATAACAGAATTTGTCGGTAGTGTGTCCTCCAGGTGTGCGTCATGAAGTTGTGTGTCATTCTGTAGTTGGCGTCATGCCCATATTAGGAGCTTTCTCTGGCAAAAGTGAATGGGATTTTCAAATATCGCTATGTACTACAGTACAAGGTTCCAAGCTCAGTACTTTTCCCGTTTTCCCATTCATTTTTGCCATCGAGAAATCCAGAATGACACACATCAGTGGTCCATGACGTTTCAGTAACGCTTCACATGTCTCTGAGGAAATATATATATAGATATATATATATATATATATATATATATATATATATATATATATATATATATATATATATATATATATCAATCAATCAATCGCTGTTGTCAGAAGCAAACCTTATATCTCCAAAATGGTAACTTTACAGGAGAAGGAAAAAACATACTTTGCTTTTAATGTAAGTCAATGGAACCAGACTTTTTTCCAAGTCATTTTGGGCCATTTCTTTTGGTCCATTCATCATAAAATTTGCATACTTTGTAAAGGGCAACAGGCACTCAAAAACTGAAAAACGACAAAAATGGACATACAAGGTTTGCTTCTGACAACAGCAACATTATATATGTCCCCCTGTACCCCTGTGTGGATATATGGATAACATACTGGCATTGTGTTGTTTTTGCAAGGCCTTTTAGAAGAAAGCTGATGGTTCCTCTGTGAACAAAGTCCATTTCTTCTCTGAAACAGCTCTGCCCATCTAAAAACTGACCAACTGAAAAAATGACCAACTGAACAATAGCACAAAATCAAAGGAAAATAATGTGAAAATTGAATAAAATATTCCTTGAAAGCCATAATCAGGGATTCTGGAACGAGTCCTGGGTGAGCCCCCACAGCCAAGGATGTAAAGAACATCAGTCATCATTTCAAGGCTTTGAATGCTTTAATTAAAATGGTTTATACTTTCATGCAAAAACCATCTTTCATTTTGCCTCATATTACTGGGCAAATAAGGCATCAAGAAGGTGCTTTTCTTGTGTATTTACTGGGTCTATGTGATGTTAATGATCCCTGATTGTGGCTTAAACCCCTAATATTAATTAGATACATAGAAAACAGCTATATAAGTACTGAGTACTAAGAGTATTAGTTTTGAGTTTATACAACTTGTATGCTGTGCCATCAGTCTACCCAAAAAAAATTGTGTGCGTGTGTTTGCGTGTGTGTATATATGATTATTATCAAATAATGCTTAGTTACTCTACTCAGAAATACAGCTTAGTGAAGAGTCATAAAGGTCTATTTCTGGAAATAAGCTTCATATTCTATTAAACTGGCTTCTTTATTATGGTGTGCTGTAAACACTATTTACACTAATACGTGATCCATCAAATCTAATCACCAGCCCGAGGTTCTTAATGCACATAGACTTTGCTATTATTGTGATGTTTAGGAGAAATTTCTCCAATAGATCTAGATTGTTCTAGATCGTTGTAGATGACGGCTTCAGGACGTTCCTCGTCCGTTCTGGAGCGATAGACTGGACGTTCCTCTGCTGGATTTATGCAAACTGATAAACGTCAGCTTTACACACACCATTCCTGCCTGAATGCACATGAATGCTCCTTTTTGAAATGACAGAATGACCGTTTCCTTTGCATTAAGTGTGTTAACGTTACTGTAAAAGCCTTTTTTTTACTTCTCCATAAATAAATACAAAGAATGTACACCGCACCATTCATGGCTGCTTTCAACCCATTTATTTTATGCAACTATGCCTTTCTTTCAATTAAATTAACAATGTGATCTATCATTTCACGGGCGGATAACTGGACATATGAGATCTTTACAGTGACCGTGCCGATGTGATGACTGACCAGGCAGTAAATAAAACTCCTTTTATTTCACCAGATCTGTGTGCTTGGGTTTTATTTACACGTCTTTTTTAGAACGTGTTCTCCACCAGACAAATCCCCATGTGTCGGAAGGCTTTAGTACATTGCTTAAAAAAAAAACCTTGAATTTACAGTCAATTAAAACAGGACAGTTCAAACACAGCAACTATTGTACACTAAGCGCTAGTGAAATGATTTGGCTCCTCTGTATGTAATAACAGCCATTTGTCTAATTTGGACGTTTCTCTATTTAAAGGTTTTAAGGCAATGCGCACGTGTCCTTCTCACACTTGCCCGCTCTTCTCTCTGTCCACCCCGTCGCTTTTTAAAGGAAGTAATGTAAGCTTCACAGTATGATTCATGGAGTAATTTACAGTATAAAGATGCTACAGTTCCTATCAGTACACAGTTAGACGGACACAGATTAGGCAGAGACGTGGACTGAAGTGCAATTTCATTATGATTTTCCCACTGAAACTCCTTTTCAGTCTGGATCTTGGCTTAATCCATGTCCTGGGAACCAGCACTCATGCTTTCATCCTCTACCTTTCCTTCTCTCCTCTGTCCTACCTTCACACCCTACAGGCCAATGTTTGAAGGCAGCATCATCTTTGTAATCGAATCCACATTCAGTTGCTTCTGTAGGCTTGATGAACTGAATCAGGTGTTACATTAGGAGTCTGTAAATAAACACTGGGCCTGGTAAAGAATTGCAGCTGAATATTTTGGAAAAACATCACTGGTTTAAACTAGATGTCAATGAAGAAATGCTTTGGTGCTTCATGATGCATCTGAGGTGCAGACTTAACTGCATCAACGACCGATAGAACTGATTATAATAGATATGAATAATATTAAATAAACATGTTCTCATTATTTTAACAAAAATAAAAAAAAAGTAAAAAAAAAAACACTGTGTATGATCTTTACTGACTATATGCCACTACTGTATTAATAGTGTCTCTAGTCACATTTGAGGATTTTTAATGTATTTTTTTCATTATTTTTTAACCCAGATTTTCTCCCCTATTAACTCGTAGACACTTCCCACCCACTAACTCGGCCTCCCCTAATCCTATGATACTACCAAGCTGGGAGAGTGAAGGCTAGTACATGCTTTTCTTAGACCCCCACTTACGGGCGGCTGTGGCATCGCCTGGAATTGAACTCACAATAGGACAAATTAAGTGTTTTTAAAGTTAATTTTAAATCAATACCAAAAGAGTCAAATTGAATCGTGACAGAATTTGAGCTTTCATGACACACTGAATCATTTCCTGACGAATCAGAATCATCTTACTGTGTTATTATTGTTGCTGGTAAATTCAAGTAATTGTAAGATTCTTTTGAAACTTAAAATCACTTCTTGCTTCCATACTTTGGCCTGTAGGGTATATGTGAAATCTCCAGTGTTGGGGGCATCACGATATGGTAATGTGTTTACATTTTCCTGTAATAAAGTAATGTAACATGTTCCAGTTCAAATTCTTACAGGTACTGACTTAACAGGGATGTCTCGCATTACTCAAACGTTGTTATGAGAACAAATTACATGCACAAAATTTGTTTTTTCTGTAACTGTCCTGCCTGTGTGACTCTGTGAATATGAGCAGTGCTGTAAATTAGCCATAATCTGTTATAGCATCTACTGCTAACATGAAACTGGTGGATAAAGATCTCTATGCTGCAGAAAAGAGAAACAGATCTGACTGTATTTCCAATCAGAAACAGCTCTGTACACTTCCCATTATATTCACTGTAGCATGGTCTTGGGTAATTTGTTGTTTAGCATTTATGTGTGGGGTTATTCTGCTAAGGACTCTTATTGTGGAGGGCGGGGCTGGTTCCGCAGGGGAGTATATGTGTGTGTGTGAGCAGAAAGAGTAAGAGAGGTGAAAGATGGGAGCTGCTGAGAGAACTCTGCTTATGTATGGTGTAGCTGTGGCCAACAACAGCTGGAGAATAAATCACCATGACTTGTGAAAGCTGTTTCTCATTAATAGCGGCGAACGCTACATCATCCAGAGTTTAATTCCAGCTGTTTTTCAACTGTTTCTACCGGCCAGTTTCTCAAACAGCATTAGCCGTTCATCTAGCGATGGCAGAAACGAAGGTTTCTGAAGCAGCAAAGATTTTCTTTACATTGTATTGGAAAAGGATTCATTACTCAAAGCTTTTAAAATATGGGGGCATATCAGTTCAAAATGAAAATGTAATGTGTAAAATATCAACATATTTGAATGTTTGCATTTAAATTTCCCTCTCATATATCCAATGTTGAGCTCAAAATTTAATATTGCAATTTATCTGACATTTGGTGCACCAGTACTGAAATTTCAGTTACACAAAGATTTAGATGCTTCATGAGTAGCTTTATTTAATATGTATTTCAGAAGTGCATTTATGCTTAATGTGATCATGCAATAGTTGTGTCAAAATGATAGATAAAATTTAATTTGAATTTCCTTATCAAAGAGAACACCAAGCTAGAAAAGGGGTAAGAATTCATATATAAATGGGGAAAAAGTGCCTCTCCTGGTTGCAATTACACATTCTCACCTACTGCACTCATTCTGTGTCAAAATGCCTTTGAAAATGCATTCGACACGATTGCATTTTCATTTTCATTGTCTTCCCAACTTGTCAATCATCCCGTCAGGGTGGGGCTAAGAGCATGCTTTTATTGCCTAATCACATTAGGTATAAATATACAGTTCTGTAAATCACTCTTATCAGAAGAAAATCTTGTATCTCCAAAATGGTAACTTTACAGGAGAGGGAAAAAACCTACTTGACTTTTAATGTAAGTCAATGGAACCAGAATTATTTCCAAGTCATTTTGGGTCGTTTCTTTTAGTCAGTTCTTCACGAAATTTACACACAATGTAAAGGGCAACAGGTATTTTCGAATTACGTCAAAACTGAAAAACGACAAAAATGGGGATACGAGGTTTTCTTCCTACAATAGCAAAATACATTTTAATTCAATTAAAGCTACTCACAAAGCATCTAGATCTACATGTAAATGAAAGTTCACTTTAATTGGCAAATTAAAATTTAAATTTTGATACTGATATGCTTCCATATTAAAACCAGTGCACATTAATGACACCTGGTGGTAAAAAGCATGAACAGCAGCTGTATACAGGGATACTGTCATGTCTTTCTTCCTAAACTCATTCCTCTGGTACAGCTGGGTTTTAAAGAGTAATGTAAAGTATTACATTTTGAGAGAAGTAATTAGTAACTTTGTAATGGATTACTTGGGTCAACACTGGAAATCTCCCAGGCTATTCTGACCTCTAGCGTTTGAACATAGCACCTTCATATCACAACAGACTCTCGTTCTCTGTTCCAACCCACAGCGACAACAGTATAAATAACATAGCACCAAATCCCCTGTCTGACCAGCGGTTTACATGAAGCGCACGTAGATTAGGGGAAAGGGATCGGGTTCTATACACTCGGGGGTAAAACAGGGACAGGGATAGGTAAGGTCAGGATGGAAGAGGGTCGGGTTTGCTACAGACGGTTTATGGGCGTCAGGCACGTTTTGTTAGTCCGTCCCATTCATTAGCTACATTGTTCATTGTTCTTTGTTACTATACACAATGCACACACCAGCTCAGCTAAGAGTAGGCACAGCCGTGTCCCATGATCTCCATGCCGACAGTCTAAAAAGTCACTTACACTCACGTTAAAGGAGGCATATTTACATAAAGAAACGTGGCTCTCGAAAGGCTTCGATGGTACAATGCGATAAAACATTGTGAATGTCAAAAGCAGTGCAATGCCAAACGCTCTCTACTTATATACATACACATCTCGAGATCTCTTTTCTTAAGAATACACACACATATTCCAGCTTAATTTCTATGCTGTGCTGCATCTGTAGCATATGGCCCATTCTCTGTGCTTAGATGACTCAAAACACGCTTCTAATCGAAACCAAGGGGGTGATAAAACACCTTCCCATTGGTTTGTATTATAACTGTGTTTTAAGTTCTTCTCAACGAGAAAATAACTGTTCAAATCAGTCATACGCTACAGATGTGGCAGACAGATGTCGCGCTAAACATTCTGCTATAGGACTCCTTTAATCCCATTAGTATCAGCACATCTCTTGTTCTCACATTCAAGTTTCCGGTAAACGATTTGGATCATCTGGATGAATAAATCGAGCCCTGACTGCAATCACAGCTTCGAGATGTTCGATTAAAATGAGGAAAGAGCCTGTTTTCGGGATGATGCAGTCACTGTATGTCCACCTTGAGATAATGAGGTTTTTTTGATTGGTTGAGATGTAGAAGCAGTTCCTGCGTTCGGCCTCCAGGGGGAGTCTAACCCTCTGGCTCCTCCAGGTGTCGCGGGAGGCAAGGCGACTGGCGGCCGCGGGACAGGACAGGTCCGAGAGAGGGCGACAGGCTGCGCACCCCGACCCCGCCCATGGGGACCAGGGAGGGCGAGAGGCTGCGGTAGCCCACCGGCCCGCGGAAGCTCAGCTCCTGGGTGGGCAGCAGGGGCTTCAGGATACTCACCAGGCAGAAGGCAGAGCCGCTCTTGGGGATGAAGTTCACCTTGTTCCTGTCGGGACACAGATACGGAGGGATCTCCTGCAGAGGCCTCGGCCTGAAGAAGGAGAGATATGAGGAGAGTGAAAAAGGTACCCCAGCCAGGACATGTTTGGGGTCTTTAGATTGCACTGGAGGTACAAGGCTGGTGTAGCTATCACATAAATAAACCTTATATCCTCCAATTAGTGCTGCATTCCTGAACCACCTCAAACTGAGTGAAGTTGCTAAGGAAGCCTAAACAGGCCTGTTTGTGTGAACTCTGACTCTAGTTCTGACTCTGACTCTGTATTCTTTACTGTTATCTGTAAAAGCTTTACTCACTGATTCTCCTCGAAGACTTTGACTCTCTCACAGCCCTCTGGAGGTTCTCGCTTGAACATGTAGCTGTTGTTGGGTTTGGGGGAGGAGGCGTATTTAGGCAGGGGGGAGTAGGGCCCAAGGTCTACAGGTAGAGAAGAAGTGCTTGGTCACAAATTGCCACCTTTGTGAACATGTAGTAGTTATAGTATCTTTTTCTTGAGTACAACAAGACACAGACACACTGTGACAGCTTGCACAGCTTCTATTCATATCTGAATAATCTGGAATATGTGCATATCAGTATTCTGTCTCCTGTGTACCCTGCATCTCATTTATCCACCTCAGACTCACAAACTGCATACATGAAAATGTGTAAAACTGTAGATATCATAGCTCTTTATTTCATAACTTATATTACCGTACAAAAACTGTACATTGGAAGTGCAATAGTTGTGTATATTATTGTGTATATTGTGTATATGTTTATATATTTAGTCTAATATGTGTTTCTACACATATATATATATATATACATATATATATATATTTTTTTTTATATATATATATTTTTCTTTGTATTAAAGTCCTACAAGGGGGCTACACACATAAGATATTCACTCACCTTCGCACCTGTGTAAATGTGATGTGACAAAAAAAATGATCTGATTTGATCTGAAAGTGATTTGGTAATGTAGCATCAGAATGGGAACTTTACAGCAGGAAAAATGTTCACTTTTAATGGAAGTTAATGGAACAAGAATTTGAAGTATTTTATTGGTCCAATCACCATGAAAATTTAAAACATTATAAAGAGCAGCTATTTCCAAATAAAGAGCAGGTATTTCCAAATTCTGTAAAAGCCCAACAACACAAAAACAGATAGAAAATTGTTTTCCAACAGCTCCGATATTCTTGCAGATTCTAGCCTCGTTAATCAATCAGTGTTTCCGCTAGATTTTTTTTCCAGACTGGACAGTTGACCCTTTGAAGCTATCAGAGCTGTCGTGCATACATGGTGTCATCAAACGTGCATGGGACTGGAGTACTGTCATCACACACAAATCTTTAAAAAAAAACATCTCGCTCTGCTGTTTGAAGTGTGTGTGAGTGTGTGTGTGTGTGTATGTCTGAGTGTGTGTGTGTGTGTGTGTGTGTGTGTGTGTGTCACCTCTCTCTCTGCTCTCGCTGAGTGTGTCGTCGTTGGGTAGTGGGCTGTTCCCCACCGTGTCGTTCAGGATGCTGAGGTATGAGGGTGACACCGAATCTGCCCGGCTGCTGCTGTTGCTACGGTTACCGCCCAGGCCCCCGCCTGAGGGTGTCTGGGTGTCGATACTGCGGGTGCTGCTGCTGCGCTGGGGGATGGGCGGGGGGGCACGGTGCCCATCAGGAACGTCCTGTGGCTAAACACACACAAACATACACACTTGTGACCATCATTTGCATGGACACTGCGCTGTACATGCTAGGGACGGGCATTCTGATCAACACTGTTATTAAACGGATATTCCGTGTCTATTTTTTGCCATCATTTTGGTCATAATGATGCACAATGATATGTATATTCATTACAATGACATAAGACTAATTCCCCCACAGTAAATATAAAATTAAGTATTCAGACCATAGAAATTTACAAAGAGATATTAATGAACTAAATATGTACAAAATCATCATTTACTTTGTATTGGGAAGTGGGGATACCAAACCCTAACCCCTAAATTTCAGCTTGGGAAAATTATACTTACATTTTTTGTATTTTTTTCAATGTTTTTAAAGATCTTTTTGATTTCTTTTAAAGTGAAGTTAAGGATTTAAATCTATAATGAGTTTAATTCCTAAATAAAAAACTAAATTAAAAAATACTGTCCTGTGTTCATGTCATTACCGAAACACGTTTTAGGAGGAGCCTTATTTTAGCCACACCCCTGCATTTTAGAGCAGGAAGTGAGACTGCATCCCTGCTTCTCATGACCACATGGTGAGCAGCTAGACCCCACTGTTTTGAAGTAAATGTCTCAAACACTAAAAAGTGTCACTACCGAAACGTATTATCCACAATTAAGTAAACTTTTTTGTGTTTTATTGAAAAATACTATGACTTTATGTGTGTACAATTGTTCAAGGCTGTGTTTGCTAGTCATGTACTGCTAGAGTTTTGAGTTCTCTTCAAATTTAGCTAAAATTGTCACCTCCTAAACATTTCGCTGTTGTTGGAAGAAAACCTTGTATTTTTCAGTTTTTGACATAATTTGAAAACACCTGTTGCCTTTACATTGTGTGTAAATGACCAGAAGAAACGGCCAAAATGACTTTGAAAAAACTCTGGTTCCATTGACATTAAAAGTAAAGCAGGTTTTTTCCTTCTCCTGTAAAGTTACCATTTTGGAGATACGAGTTTTTCTTCCGACAACAGCGATCTGCTAGTTTTGGAACTGTTTATTTTAACAAAGTAAATATTCAGACCTTAGATATTAACAAATATACATTAATGAACTAAATATGTACAAAATCATCATTTACTTTGTATTAGAAAGTGGCGATACCAAACCTTAACCCCTAAATTTCAGCTTGTGAAAATTATACTTAATTTTTTGGGCTTTTTTTTAATGTTTCTAAAGATCTTTTTGATTTATTTTTAAAGTGAATCTATAATGAGTTTAATTTCTACATTTTCTGGCTTGTAGATCAGTGGCTGGACAAGTCTGGCCTGCAAGAATTCCTAATGCGTGTATGATGTATTGTATTCTGGCAAATGTAGTGAAAAGCAATGAAATAAAAATGCAAGAAAAATGCAAATTCATATTTTAAAATGCTGAGGCTGAGGGATAAAATACTGTGCTACAGAATTAACACATTAAACTCTAAATAGGTTTGCCTATGAAACAGAATACAAATGCTATCATGTAAAATATTACTAACATGCAAGGCTTTCGCCAAGCTGTGGATTATTTTCTCTTTGGGCATTTAGGGCGAGTCACATGTTGAATGCATGGAATGCATGGAATTCTTTAAATCCTTTGCCAAAAAAAGCAAATAATTCTGCCTTTTAATCAACTTTTTCTGTTAATCGTTTCTTTTTTTTCAGTGCTGTAGCTGCATTTATTATGGTATGTTAAGATTATGATCTAACAAAGACAAAAAAGGAGATCTGTATTTTGTCTGAGCCATAAACGACTTTTTCAGCAACAAAACAAATGCAGAGGAGTATAATTCACAGTTCAGTTGTCTTAAGGCATAGCTGATTGGGACAGAAATGCATTTCGGTAATTTATTAGTCTAACAATACAATACCTAATATGTTAAAAAATATTCAGAATTAATAAATAAAATATCAACATTTCCATCCTCCACATATTGGTACTATTAAACAACGTGAAAAATTGTGATATTTTTCTGTTTTTGTCTGTTTCATGGCAGCAACTGAATCACTCAGGGTTTTGACAGAATTCTCTATTTTGTGTTGCTCTTATGTTTTCTTTTAATGTCTCTCACTGCAATACCCACAATGCATTACACAAATACATAATGCAGCCTTTCAGAATCACTGCAGTGCTCATCCACATATGACCATGTGGGGCAGTTGTGGGCTGGAGGTTAGGGAACCAGCCTTGTAACCGGACGGTTGCTGATTCAAACCCCTAACAGGACATGACTGAAGTGCCCTTGAGCAAGGCACCTAACCCCCCAGGTGCTCCCCAGGCACTGTGGATAGGGCTGCCCACCACTCTGGGCAAGTGTGCTTACTGCCCCCTAGTCTGTGTGTGTATGTGGGTGCTTCACTGCACTGATGGGTTAAATGCAGAGGTGAATTTAATCACTGTGGGACTAATAAAGGGTAACTTACTTATTATTAACTTACTTGGACTGAGTATTGTAATTCGGTACTTTTACAGTCTTGACTGAATTAATTCAAAACTATCAAAGATCAAAACATTCCATGTTATTCAATACCAAATTTTGTTTGTTCCAAAATCTGTTGTGGTCAGTAAATACAGCTACTTTCAGCATCGTTCACTCATTAAGCCACACCCACTTTCAGTACGTACTCTAAAAGATGGTATCAGTAAAAAGTATTGTTCAAGAACAGGAATCAAAGTCAAGTATCTGAACTGGAATCTCAATCAAACTTTAATGGATTCCCAGCCAAAACTGTAACTACACTCAGTCTGATGAATAAACGGCTACAAAGCCACATTATCTGAATGCAATGCCTACTATATGTCAGATAAGAGGGCTTTGAGACTCACAATGATGACTTCATCTCGCTCTGTGGTGTCTCGTATGATGATGCGCTCAATCTCCTGGTTGAGACCCTCGATGCTGTTGCGGAAGCGAGGGGGCGTGGACTTGGAGATGGGGATGGGGATCAGGATGGTTTTAGGCATCTGAGACTGAAAGAGGGACAGAGATGACAGAGGAGAAGAGACAAAAGGGGGACAAAGTTGAGAGGTAATACAACCACATTAACTCTGACTGTCTTACAGCCAAGAGGCTATGCTAAATCAAAATAGCAGCATTGGGCAACAAAAATATGGACAAATTCAGTCGTACTCATACCTCTGTTTTAAGCTATGCAATGGCCTTTTATATGTCAGCATGACTCTGTTCAATATGGTATTAACATCCATCTTGAGTGATCTGATCATAAGTGGACAGCGAGACGTGTAGCCGCTCACACCTGGCATTTCTATGTGTCTCAAATGCGTCTCCAGTGATTGGATTTCGTGACTGGAGGAAGGGTACCGTCCACATTTACTACATCAGCCTCTCGCTGTGTTTGTCTGTTCATGTAAATGAAAGGGCTTACGAACGTTTAGACCACATGAATTGCTAACATGACTTGTAAACAAACAGTACAGGAGACGAAAGACGAACCTACGCAGCTGCTTTAGTCTCTTCTGTGACGACGCCCTTCGCCACTGACCAAGATGCATCGGGATGCTTTAGCGTTCACACTGTAAGGCCCAGTCCCATTTCTTCTTTTTACCCCTACCCCTTGTTTTCGAGTGTCAACCTAACCCCTTGGAACGGAGTTACAAAGGGTAGTGGTTGAAATCTTGCCCAACGAAATGGGACCCTCAAATTTAAAAAATAATAATAATTAAAAAAAAACCTTGCTTCATCAACAGCTACTAGCGCTGCTCTGTAGGCGACCTGGCCCGTCTGCAGTGACAGCAGAGGAGGGTAAAGTTCAGCTCCTCACTGCTGGGCTTTAGTTTATTTAGGGCATCATATGATCTTCAAAGAGGGACAATTATTTATTATCACCCACCCCTGATTCTTCAGTAATATGAAGCTGAAGTCAGATATTCACCAGCTTCTTGTTCGAATCTTCCCCTTCTGCCTTACATAGTGCAGCAGTTACATTCTGGCGCTTCAGGCGTCAGAACTGCTGGACTATTTAAGGTGGATCGGGAAAGTTAGCTAGCTAGCTACAGAGACATTAGCATGCTATTAGTGATTTTTAATGCTTGTTATGAAGAAAACGACCATAATACACTGAAACGACGTTAAACTAAGATAATACAGTGGTTATCATAATTTTTTAACAGAGAAAATTCTCACATTGGTGTATTTTTTTGGTCGCTCGCGCAGCCATCTTGCCGGTTTTTCTTTTTTTCTCATAACACTCAGTTTAGAGTCTCTGAAAGACCTCTGTTTGGAGAGCCATGTGGCCCTAACACTTTGCCCTACCCCTCTATCTCAACAAAAATTGGGACACCCTACCCCTAGACGTGAACGCGCACAACAGAGGGCTAAGGGTTAAGTGGTAGGGGCGAGGGCTGAAATGGGATTTTAGAAAAGTGTTAAGTGGTCATATGCGTCCCTGAACACCTCTGAAGGTGGTTTGAGTAAGTGAGGGGATCACAATGTGTCTCCACACTGTTAGAAATAAAGGTTCTGTTCAGGTACTTTTTTCGTTTATCAAGGTACAAACAATGTAAATGTTCCCTCAAAGGTACAGCAGTGGTTTTAAGGTCCAACTGTGCACCTTAAATAAGCTTTTCCAGGTGAAAAGTTCGTATTTGTACCTTTTCATAACCGAATGTTTTAAAAACAGAACAATAAAATAAAAGCCTGGAGGCGAGACGGGGTGTGTGGAGTCAGTACAGCTTAGAACTTATAATTTCAGTGTATTATGGTACAATTATATTCCTTGACTAAAGGTACTGAGATGTACCCTTGAGGGAACCACCCCAGTGACAAGAGGGGTACTGCCCCAGAGACAGTTTAGTACCTTTTTTCTGAGAGTGTATGACACACTGTACCCTGTTCACACCTGTATTTTTGAGTCTATTTGAGATTACTTAACAATTCAAGCTTCCACTGCTCAGCCACACTAGCCTTGCAGGTGCAAAACTAAAAAAAACAAACATGTTTTGGCTAATCCACTACATATAGTGAAGGAGGTCTGTGTGTAAATTATTGTCTCTTTAATCTGAATATAAGTCCCTTATATACTCATCTTCACTCTCTGCCTCTCTGTCCTTTCTCCTAAGTGTTCCTCTCTATTGGTTTGTTTGTTTTCCCCTCCCTGTCCACCCTGCCCTTCAAGGAGAGCATGATGATCTGTTTTTAATCTTTGACATTGAGACATATTATTTCCAAGGCAAATCGAAAACCTCCTGCTGCAAATCAGAGCAGGAGCCCTTGCAGACTGCATTAAACCAAAACGTCAGGCTATCTCTGTGCCACGCTATTTTGGGATTTAAAAGAAGGTCTGCACAGAAGTCACAGTCGTTGACGTTGAGAACAAAAGCAAGTTGTCATTTTATATTAACTCATTAAGGCGAAATGCAAAACAGCGACTCTTTCTGCCGTCTAATCTGGTCTTCTCCATTAATAACAGGACGTCTTAATGCAGTTGTGTTTATTTGACGTAAGGATGAGTGATGTGGCAATAATATCACAATACTTCAAGACATTTTCTCAACACTTCTTTTTCCTGAGGTTTTATGAGCTGAAACAGTCATAAAACAACAGTAGTGTTACATTAAAAAAAAATAATCAAAAACTATGAATACAATGACTATTATTCAAGTTTCAACTGCACTAAATCCTAAATGAAACAGGACTAATTATGCTCTATTTATAATGAAACTGCAAATTCCAACCTGTCAATACAGAACGTAAATTGAATGTAAATATAATTTATTATGTGCCTATGTAATAACTATGTAATTACGCAGTTACATTTGTATAGCATAGCAAAATGACTTTAGGGTGAAAAAAATTGACTTATTATTTATGATACATTATTAATTAGTGAGCATCCCTGTATTCTTTTGTGCAGCTCCAAACAACACATTCTTAAGAACTGTATTCAGAACATGCCCGGTCCACATAACTGACTATGCTGACCGTGCATGTATGATTTATGAGCCCTATTCTGCTTATTAGTTTACAGCACACAATGCTTAATGAATCAAACGTAAGGCACACATACACACACAGCCGTTCTCTCTGCGGGACTGGTGGTGTGACGAATGTGTTGATCGTCAGGCCTATTATAAACCAGGCCAATGTCCCGTGGGGACGTCCCCCTGTCCCCACCTCTGTTTGAGCAGCTCAAGGAGTCTTATAACTAGGACAACTGCGTGGGAAATTGGGGCGCTCTACAACTCTCCAGACGTCCGGCCTACTTCAGTCAGCCAGGTTGGAAAAGGCCAGGTTACGGGGTACTGATAAAGCCTCAGTACCCCCATACGCACACAGGGCTAAATGATTGGATGGTGGTCATGGGTGCTTACCTGTGATTGGATAATAGCATGGTTGCCATTGAAAGGCGATTTGCGCTCTTTGTCCCGCCGGTGGCGACTGCTGCGTTTGCTGCGCTGGAGCTGCTGCCGCAGTTTTGCAATCTGAGGATAGCGAACAAGCATGGATGATGAAGTGCAGGAGATGGAAAAATGGAGCAGCAGAATGAAGGTCAAAAACATTTTTCAGCAGTCTTTCTCTACTGGAAGCTAAGCTCAGAGTAAAGAACATAATATGTGCAGCTGAATGGCTGGAGATATTGTCCAAAATGTTATCACGATAAATTTGACCATTTTATTAAAAATCAATAATAATTAAAACCTATTACATGCATTTCCTCAAGCTTGATTTAAAGTGAGAATAGTATTTTGGACTATTGTGATAAAACATGATATTTATTATCAGTATAACATTAAATACAACATAAATTTGGCCTTGGCTTTTATATACAACATTTACCAAGAAACACCTTTAAAACTGCTTTGACCGCAAAAAAGCAAAACAAAAATTAGTTTATAAAAATTAATAAAGCTGTTGGAGAAGATAACCTCTGAACCTTGAGTCTAAGCAATTTTTCTTTATGGGAAAATTAGCATTTTCAAAAATGTCTGCTGTCGCACCCTGTGATAAACAAAATCCCTCCAAACACGATACGAGGCTGTTTATTAGTCAAAATATGAATAATGCTACATACATGCCACAAGCAAGTTCATGCTCCTGCATACTGAAATGACACTGCATGAGAGTGAGTCTACATTTAAAATACAACACTATTAGCTATATACCAACACCAGCTACTCAAACTGCAGCCTGTAATGCCAAAGCCACTTAACTACCACACTTGACAAAGCTTCCTGGTTTGCGTGGGGTATTTAGGTGAGGTTATCAGTCTTATGATGTCAGTTCAGTGCACGGTAGTGCCAGCTTGCATGTAGCAACAGACGATGAGGGCAAGCTGAATTGCCCCTGCTTACCTCCTTCAGCTGGTCTGTGCTGCCACAGGATGCTGAGCGCTTATGGGAGCCTCTCCTCCGCTCATCTACCCAGGCCCTGGGGGTCTAGGAGCGAAAGAGAGGAGGGGAGAGTGAAGAAAAGCATAGTTACAGTTTGTAAACATTTATATTCCCTTTATGTTGAACACACACAACAGCATGCATTGAGCTTGACACAAACACAGAATCAGTATAAGGGCATCCCAGCATTGCCTACCTGGGTGGCTTTGTCCCTCATTGAGAGGGTGGAGTGGGCGGAGCTTACGTGCTGCTGCCAGCTCCCTGGTAGGAGTGAGTCCAGGTGAGGGTGTGGCCTCAGATTTTCGCAGGATGCGGGGCTCTAATAGGCTGTGGCTAAGGGAGGAGAGAGAATGAAAAGATGAGTTCTTCACCAATTACAGCTTAATATTTGTATAGTGGGTAGAACCTTAACCTCGTCCTCGTCTGAGAAGGCAAAGCACTTTTTATCATTAATTGATATTGATATACCACATAATATGTTAGTTTTATCTAACACCACATTTTAATATCTCCTTTAACCATTGAACGTAGTGTTTTTATGAGCCTATATTCCTGTGTTGGCACTTGGCACTATCGGTTAAATTCACTAAACTAACTTAGCTATGCTACATTTTCAAGCTCAAGGATACAGTAAAAAAAGGGTCTGTTACTTTGTCACAGCAAATGCACTGAAGTGTTTGTTTATAATATTTCCTGTAGATTTTTATTGTAGAACAATGTAATTTATTAAACAATTAGAAACTATTTTGACTGGATTCTGAGGGAATTACAAGCACATATCAGGGGGAGCAAAATGCATATAGAGTCGTTTACACATAGAGTTTAGGCACCCCTGATCAAAGTACATGTTTTGTTGATTTTCTATGTGAACATGAGCACATAGTGAATGTGTTGGTTATCATAACATTAGCCTTTAAACTCCTTGAGACCACCGATGGTTCCAAAACGCACTTCGTCATATTCTTCATAACTTTCATATTTCATAAGCTACATTCTAAAGGTGGGGGTCATATGAGAGCTGTAACTGTCTTCTTTCCAGTAAAATAGATGGGTGATGTAATTTTAAACGCTTATAATAAAAGAAGCTGAACTCACAATTTTTTTTTCTACTGAAAGTCGACCCATTTTTCCACAAATCTGGGCTATAAACTATAAACAGATGGCGTCTCTTCAGTGATCTGCTCTGTAAAAATTATTTTTATAAAATAATACAAAGAGCGTCTAAGATTTTTGGCTTTCAGCAGTAATTTGTAAGCATATAGCAATATGTGTGATCATAACACACATTTTCTGTTAATTTGAGGGGAACTTTTGCAATAAATAAATAAATAAATAAATAAATAAATAAAAATGTACATTTATTTCATGCAGTTACTGAATAATATACCTTACGATTTGGTCAAGTAAATTCACATGGAAAAACCAAAATATACCCACGAGCGTAAGAGGTTAAAAAAACGATTCATTCAAAACAGGCAGGTTTTTGCGCTTTAACCAGCGCAGCTCAACAGCCTTGTTTTTTAGAACAACCTCATATAAGTGCAATAAATGTGGTTTTAATGTAGGCTGTCACACCACCCTAACATGTTTAAAAGTTCAGTTGTGTTCATGTGTGGGAATCCCAGTATCTTAATATGGTTTGCATGAAATGAATCAATAAATGAACAACATCTTTTCAAGTTATTTTTCCATCACTGGGGGATGTTACCACCGTAACTCAGTTAACCGTCACTGGGCACAGGCCTGCTCAACATCTATCCTCAATATCCAAGGGTTCACCACAACCGTGGCTGCTCTTCAAAGCCATCAGTATTATCTGCAACAGATTAAGCTGTTTCTGCTCTACTTGCAGACTCTCAGGGCACTTCATGCCATTCACCAAGTTCCTCAAGCGCACTTTGTGTATGGAGAATAAAAAGCAGCCTTTGTTTACAGATGGCACATGACAGATGACAAAATCTGAGCTTATACAATATCATGCCGTCCTCAAATAAGAAACTGCAGTACCAACTTTATTTAAACATGCTGCATTTCCATTCAGTCCAAAAGAGTGAAGTCAGCATATACAGACTTTGTAGCATCATCATAAAATGAAACTGCTATTGTTAACATTTTCAGTTTGTCAGCAAATTAAACCATTTTCTTCAGTTTGATTCTACAACGTTACATTATTTTACTCTTTGTGCCTCTTTTTTGCTTCTGCAACTGCTGGTAGGACTGCAGGTGTCAACCCATGTGATTTACTTGTTTAAAACTTGTATAAAACAATTTTGGAAATCTAGTCTTTGGACAATGAACATACATTCTGTCACCTTCAGATTTTTCACATTTCTGCTTAGTTAGACTTACTAGCTTCCCATATGCAATGGAAATATAGTTCAATATAAATATTTTTTAAATATGTGTCAAGTTTGTAATACATTTCCATACATGTTTGATGATATTTTACCATTAGTGTGATGAATAATCTCACCAATATGCTTTTCTGAGCTCATCGGTACTAAAAGCACACTGACCAACTACATGCTTCATTACAAAGTGAGCATAATTAGGCCTGTTTAATTGGACTTGGTGAGTAAAATCATTGTAGTAGTAGGTTTATTATTATTATACATATTTATATGTGGCACTGCAGGTTCTGTTTTGCCTGTTTTATTAAATCTCAGAAAAACAAAATATTGTGATGCATGTGTGAAAATGAAATATCATGATATAATATTTTGCCCATGTCGCCCACCCCACATCTAAGTGATATGATCAAAGCTAGTACACCACCTTTAGAAGTCCATTCTTTTGTATAGTATGAGGTTTGGAACACAGCCTAGAGGATGATTTATATGAGACTGTAAATCTGCAAAGCTATGATACTCCATGATGATGATGATGATGATGCATTTACTATTTCAGTCCCATTTCATTCAGGGCCATTAACCTGGCATCCTACAGGATCTGAAAGTCTCTCTCTCTCTCTCTCTCTCTCTCTCTCTCTCTCTCGCATACATATCCTTCTGGCATGAGTCACTCCATTTACTCCTACTACGCCGCCTTACGCTCTGCTTTGACTCATTTACTCACAAACACCACCGCACATGGAGCTGGACTGTAGTCTTCAGAGTCGACGTGAAAGCCAGCCTGTCTGCTTTCACTAGCCTTCAAACCCACAGCCAGCCATAACAGAGACCGATAAGCTCCCCTGTTGCTTATTTTCATCCATCCGTGCTGTTCGCCATGGCAACCAGCACCTGAGGGCGACTGCGCTTAATGCAAATCACAGCTGACCAGGCTGGCACGACGATGAGAGGAAGGTATATAATAATAATAATAATAATAATAATAATAATAATAATAATAAATGAAATAAACGAAGCTTTCTGCGTTCATTTATAATATGAGGCTGCAACAATGTGTCTGTTATTCCCTCCCACCATACACAGTAGCGCTGCTAGCCCGCAATAGCCTACTAGCAATGGAGGCTGAGTATTTACAGCGCCTGCCATCATGGTGAGGTTTCTGCAGCACCGTAACGTTCACGGCACCGCGCCCCGCCGTTCGCCCCCGGCACAAACACGAGCATCGGCCGAGGCCATTTACACTGAACCCCCTATTCCGCAGCGCAGGCCAACGTTATGCGGCCACGTTTAAGAAACAATCACAGCATTCAAAAAACCCAAATCCCAAATCGGTGCATCGGCAAAGCCTGAAACACGAGCAGGAACAGCGCGCACGTCTCACCTTGAGCTCCTGCAGCCCGAACATCCACAGTAGAGAAGCAGGAGTGCAGCTGAGCGGGTTTACCGACGGGAGGACAGCAGCAGATGGAAGCTGACGAAGCCGATTAAAATGCAGGGATTGGCGGTGGAGCTGCAGCAGCTGCTGGAAAAAACACGAGCAGAGGGCGAGAGAGAGAGAGAGAGAGAGAGAGAGAGAGGGAGAGAGAGAGAGAGGGAGAGAGAGAGATGGAGGATGCGCGAGGGGTTGCTATGGGCGTTGCTGCGCTGCCGGTCGTTAGCGGTGTTGTTTTTTTCACACCCGGATTGCGACAAATCCCGCTTCCTGCACTGGGATTGGCTAGTCCAGCCCGCCATTCTACAGACACACACACACACACACACACACACACACACACACACATGCATACACATACACACACAAGCACACACACACACACACACACACACACATATACACACATACACAGTATACAATTTATTACACAATACAAACCGAGCGCTGTCAGCAGATTCAAGAACAAAAATAATATTAATAAGCAAGATAAACAAGTAAATAAATATATTAAATAAAAGGGGGGCGGTGGTGTGGAGGTGAGGCAATTACATTTCTATGGGGTGTGTTTATCATACACAATTCGTTCAATAATCTTAGTGAAATTTTGCATTTGTCCTTTACGTCTATTAATAAATCAATCAATCAGTGGAAAGTTAATCGATCAATCAATATTTGAGCAGGTAAATAAAAGTACGGTTACGTGTAACTATAATGTTCACGATTTACTCTGAATGGGTATTATAATGGACTGGTATTGGTGAAATATTACAATAATAATAATAATAATAATAACTTTATTTATAGAGCAGTGTTTCATTCTGACAGCCGCTCAAAGTGCTTTAAAACCAGCTGACACATTTTAACAGTGTGTTATTTGGTAGCAGCAATATAAGAAATAGAAAATAAAAATGAAAGTTGAGTATTTATTTTAATCTTCTTCTTCTTATTATTATTGAGCACAATTATAGCCATATACCAACAGCTAATCGGAGCGCAAGAGGCGGGGCCTGTCTGAATACGGGTGGGAAAAACAAACGCTGGTGTTTTTTTGGCTGACGCTGCGTGAAGGGGGCACCGTGCTGAGAGCAGCTGATAGCGTAGCTGTGTGTGTGTGTGTGTGTGTGTGTGTGTGTTATTGCTGGGTTTAAGTCAGTGGTCAGCGCTATTGTTGGGGAGGGATGAGCAGCGGGCAGAGGGCTCGCTGCAGTAGTGCGATTATGGAGACTGCTGATGCTGTTGCAGAGGCGCGTGCTGCTGTTTACTCCGCTTTTGGTGTAGAGGTGTAGATAGACCAGTTGGGGGCGCTGACACACCGCGGAAAAGCCCTGTATTTACAAACGAATAGACCAAAACGTGTACAGAGCACGTTTTGCAGAACTCATCAGGCCACACTGGAGGCATTTAAAGGGAAATTCCACTCATTTTCCACTATTTCTGCATTATTTATTACTTGGCATGCAAACAAAGTCATTCAGAGTGGTTTGATACAAAATGCCGCGCTGTAGAGAAGTTGGATGTTTTCCAGTGGTGGTGATAGAAACCAGAGGTCGAGGCGTCTGACGCAAATACAGACCTTTAATTTGCTTTCCTAAGCTAACAGTAAACCACACGCGCACATGCTTTCTGAGTAAATCTGAAGAAGATAAGGGAAAACTGTATTTGTGTCCTTTAGAGCGCTCTGTACCTCCGGCTTGACTCAATGTTCAAAATGTTGGGTCATCAGAACACGCTTTGGTTCCCATAATGCTTTGCTCATGCTTAGCCGGGCTGTAGACGATTTAGTCCTTAACACAGTACATTTTGAAGTATGTGACGGGGCAGTTCGGTTGGGTACTGTGTTTGGGGGTCATCTGGGTTTGGGTCCTGATCCATAAAGAGCGTTTCCTCCTTTCGGAAATAAGATTTTTCTCTTTTCAGAGCCCTACGGAGTCCCGCTGGTGACATCCTGTATAAATAAAAATAACGCGTGGCAACAAGATAATGAAGTCGTCTGAATACGGGTGGGAAAAACAAATGCTGGATTTTTGGGTTAAAGCTGTGTGAAGGACTGAGAGAAGCTGTGATAGCATATGTCGTGACCATGACTTAGTAAGGCATGATCTTGTTCCCACGCCTTACTAAGTCATGGCCACGCATTAAGATCTCATTCCCACATGTTAATAAGGCGTGGCCATGCATTATTTTTATTCATATGGAATGTCACCAGCAGAGCTCTACAGAGCCATGTCATGTCATATAAATGAAAATATTTTGTGGCCACAACTTAGTAAGGAGTGGGAACAAGATAATTAAGTCAATTAAGGCCACAACTTAATTATCTCATTCCCACACCTTACTAAGTCATGGCCATGCATTAAGATCTCGGTCCCATAGGTTAATAAGGCGTGGCCACACATTATTTTTATTTATATGGGATGTCACCAGCAGAGCTTTCCAGGGCCATGTCATGTCATATAAATGAAAATATTTTGTGGCCACAACTTAGTAAGGCGTGGGAACGAGATCCTAATGCATTGCCACTTTGTAAGGTGTGGGGATGAGGTAATTAAGCCTTTACCACAGCTTAATAAACCATGAACTCGTTTCCACGTCTTACTAAGTCATGGCCACAACTTAATTATCTTGTTCCCACACCTTACTAAGTCGTGACCACGCATTTTTTATTAATATGTGAGTCACCAGCAGGAATCCATACTTTTTGTGTTGTAGTTACCCAGTCAATTGTAAATATAGCTGCGTTGTGGGTACGAGCTTCGAGTTGTCTCAGCTTCTCTGCACCCCTCACGATACAGTCTGTTTCAGACCAGAACCTTTTCTCAAAACCAGTGTTTTCTTATTTGGGGTTTGTTCTTGGGTAAGAACAGAATCTACACACACTCGAGAGCACAAAGGTGTGAACAGTTCTGCGGTTTATGAACACTTTTTTTAGGTGTTTTCTCAAGAACACCTTTAAGAAAAAACTTAGGAAGAGAGAGAATGAGGCCCAATGTCTTCAGACATCGTGTTCATAATCATTTCATGTAATAACTTTCTGGAAGGAGCTTTTAGAGGCATTCAGCTCATCAGTCGTCCGGTTCCTACCACCACCAACTTCTAGAATGAAGCATTTCACATCAAACCACTCTGAACGCGCTTGTTTTTAACGAATGACTCACACAGAAAGCAAAATAAAATAAGATCCAGTCATTATTAGTCATTATTACTGAGTTCACACTTTAGTGTTTCACACAGCAAGATTTCTCGTCAAAGCTGGGTGACTTAAATCCGGCCCTGGGACTGTAACAAGAAAGAGTCTCGTCCGTCCGGGTTTGTGGCTAATTGAGAAATCCCCTCCCAGCTTTTGCTTAACATCGTGTCGATGCTTTCATTCAGCCGCTCGGGGGCGCCCGCGCCACTTGGCTTCGTCTTGATTTTAACGACGGTTCACTTCGATTCAGTTTACTGAACCGATTCTTTCGAACTGTACGTTTCATTAAATCGAGCGTTGGATTCATTGATTCACAAGTGAAAATGAACTTTATTCTCTTCTCCTCCAATACAATAAGATTCGGTTCAGCGAGTGAGTGTGATGTTCGCTTCTGGTACTCACTAATGGAGTTAGACTCGAAATGAACAAAGCACAAACACGCGACAAAAATGACTATTCGGAAATGTCATAATAATAATAATAATAATAATAATAATAATAATAATAACTACAACAGTGGCGTTTATTCATAGCACCTTTCCAAAATGATCGCAAAGGTTCGTTTGAGTTGAAACTGTGAATCAGCTCGAACGATTCACTTAAAAGAACCGAGTCAAGAGAACGATTCACGAGTTCACGAGTCGGACATCGCTTGTCTGGATCAGCATCTCCAGTGAGGGGAGCGGAGCTGGGGAGACGGACGGAAGGCGAGGCGTTTCCAGCCCGGACCTCCAATTCCATCGCCGTTCCTGTTGTTTCGACACCGCCAAGGGAAAAATGGCACGCAAACCATGCGGTCTCTCCGGCTAACCTGGCGAGAAAACGCCGAAATCCCCACAGACGAAGAACAAAATATGTGGTATGCGGTCAGTGTGATGATTAGCATGTGAGCGATAGACGCGTCCAGCCTGTTATTCGAGTGTCTGTATTGCACAGCCCATGTTTTCTCAGCGAAACGGCCTTTTGGGACGAAGGAAGAGCTGGACGTCGTTTTGGTCAGCGCCACATCTCTTCGTGGAAACTCTAATGTGTGCTACTTTACGAAGAAGTCCGTTATCGAGAACGAAAACAAACGCCAAAGTTGGGTTTTATGTTTAGTTCATTGAACTTATTGGCACATATAGCACTGTTCAGCACCTCAGCTGTGGATAAATACAGGTAAACAGTATTTTAACTGATTTTTTACATCGTCTGTCACTTCTGTGAGGACTCGAACGGCAAGGCCTTCAAGATAGTTGTCTGTTTTCGGTGGACTGATTTTTAAACTCAGTGTTTTTTTGTAGCTACGGGCTTTCCAGCTGGACTTTTTCAGAAATGTGCCTGGTTGTCCGTAGAAAAGCAGACGTGATTTTGTCCAGTGACACTCGGGGGTCTTACAGTGATAAAAACTGAACAAAAACTGTTTTTTTGTTCTTTGAAGAGGAGAAAAAGACAGAAACATGGCAGCGGAGGGCCGGATCACTGTCTTCGATATTGGACTGTTTGCTCTGGTTCTGCTCAGTCCTGTTGCTGGTAAGTTATTCAAGTCTATTGTTATTAACGTGTTAATTAATGTAATTAACATGCCTATAACGTGGTTATTTACAGGCTCCATATCATTGAACATTTAGAATAAAAATTCATATTTTTTGTTTAATAAAAGAGTTTGATTTAATACTTAAACATTGTTAACACTTACGCATTTTACGCTCACTTCCCATTCTATACTGAAAATAAGCTTGAAAATGATATTAATTAATTTTAATTAATTTTGAACCCGATTTATTTACATATACCCACCTACAGCAGTTTAGCCCCGCCCATTCACGTTGAAGTGATAAGGAGTGTTTCAGGCTGGACTGCTTTTTGAACTAGGCACAATCCAGGGGAGCCAGTTGTAACAGAGCTCATTTGCATATATAAGTCTTAAAGGCACAGTAACAAAATAGCTTGGTTAATTCTAAGGAATAAAGAGAGGTTGTGTTAAAGTGAATTACAGCATAATGTATGTAAAGCCATAATAAAATGCAGGTGGAATGTAGGATGTGGGTCCGTTAAGATGTCAGAAGTGTTAAATGACTGTTCTACAGCGTGATCAGACCCTAAACCAGCCTTTTTGTTTAATCGTAATAACTGGATTATACAGTAACTTATGACTCAGAGACAGAGTAATGAGTGATCACCCACTTTGAAGCATATTAAGTCTGGGTGTGTGGTCTCTGGTCTCCGGCACCAGCCCCAGAGGTGAAATGGGGGGCTACTGTACAGCAGCGAGATAAGATAAGGCATCCCCTTCTCTCTTCTCCTCCCTCCCCCCACTTCCCTGCTCACTGTGTGAGTGTGTGTTTTATTGCCATATTTCGTGACTTCGAGCGTGAGTCTTGTACGCAATGAGCCCCGTGTCCTCACACAGCTGCACAGCTCCAGAAACCACTCTCACTTCCATAAGGAGGTGCAGGAAGGCCAAGCATTGTTCCACATGCAAATGATGTCAGCGCCGTGTCAGACGGAATGCACGGTGACCTCTCTTATGGGCAGGAAGACATGTGCGTGTGAACTAGAGAGAGAGTGAGAGAGAAAGAGAGCGATAAGACTCAAGAGAAGTCCAAAAAATTGGCAGAAAGGCAGAGGGAGTGGCGGTGGGACAGAAATAGTACGATGGGGATCTGCACAGTAAACAGCAGTGAAAGGCCTCTTGCTGCTCAGGGGCCTGTGCTGTCCCTCTGGCTAGCGTCCAGTACAGCAGTAGACAGCAGGGGAAGGAAGCCTTCAGTAAAGCCCTGACATGTGGTCCGATTCGTCTTAGATAACTGAGGGTTAGTCAAAACAGATGAAAAGCGCTCAACCTGTGTTTCCACTGTACAGTGTGCCTGTATGTTTGTGTGTGTTTTGTGTGGTTGCCCCCCTCTGGCCTGCTTATGGTGTGTGATTGTATTTTCTGCTGAAACTGTTTCTTTATGCAGTGTCTGTGAGTCACTAGTGTGGTGCGGCATATGTATATATATATATATATATATATAGGGATAACATTATGACCACCTCCTTGTTTCTATGCTCATTGTCCATTTTATCAGCTCCACTTACTATATAGGTGCACTTTGTAGTTCTACAATTACAGACTGTAGTCCATCTGTTTCTCTACTTTGTTAGCCCACTGTTACCCTTCTTCAGTGTTCAGGACCCCCATAGACCCTCACAGAGCAGGTACTATTTGGGTGGTGGATCATTCTCAGCACTGCAGTAACACTGATGTGATGGTGGTGTCTTAGTGTGTGTTGTGCTGGTACGAGTGGATCAGACACAGCAGTGCTGCTGGAGTTTTTACACACCGTGTCCACTCACTGTCCACTCTATTAGACACTCCTACCTTGTCAGTCCACCTTGTAGATGTAAAGTCAGAGACGATTGGTCATCCTCTAGTCCTTCATCAGTGGTCACAGGACGCTGCCCACAGGACGCTGTTAGCTGGCTATTTTTGGTTGGTGGACTATTCTCAGTCCAGCAGTGACACTGAGGTGTTTCGTGAAGCTACTAACTTGCATTTTTTTATTGCTGATGTTGCTTTCAGAGGAAATTTGGAACGCTTTAGTGATGATTTATCAGAGGATGGGCACTGTGAGCGGGACATACATTTCACAAGCTGACTTGTGGCAGAGCTGGTATCCTATGACAGCGCCATGTTTAAAGACGCTGAGCTCTTCAGTACGACCCATTCTACTGTCAGTGTTTGTCTACCGAGATTGCAAGGCTATGTGCTTACGTTTGTCCACCTGTTAGCAATGGGTGTGGCTCAAACACCTGATGCTAATGAAACTAATTAAATTGCTTGTTACCACATGAAGTATGTAAGTATATATGTGTGTGTGTATATGTATATACATATATATATATATATATATATATATATATATATATATTATTATTAATTTTTTTTTGGAGAACAGATTCTGACCCGAATAGGCTACCCTATCATTATGTGTATTCATTATGCGTAAATCCAGTTGTGCGTTTTTTCAGTGATGCATGCCACTTAAATAAATAACCTGCATAGATGTCAGTGGAACTAAAAACTTCTGTTTTATGCCAGACTAACACGTTTTGCCTTTGCTGTGGTCTCATGGCAGTGAATGTAAATCTTATTGGTCAGTAAGTTTATTTTGCAGTGGCATCACAGAAACAGAAGAAAATGGAGCTGCGTGTTTGCAGTGCACTACCCTGTGGTATTAGCCAGTACGGCACCATCAAATTAAAGCCATGTGTGTTGACTTTAAGCACTGGCATTCAAACAGGATAAGCAATACAAACAGCAGCTGAATGCTCTCCAATGCAACAGAATAATTTTACCTCAATTTTTACTAAGAAGTTAAAACTTGGGGAAAACGCGTTCTGTAATTTGTAGGTGTGCTGTAAAGATTCCGACATCAGGGCTGTTATTAAATTGCATACTAATTTAAAGGCCCCAGACTGTAGTCCCAAATACATAAAAAAGAATATAAATCAAAGTACAGTATCCATGATAAAGTATACAGAACATGTCTGCTGTCAGGCTGCATCTCGATATGTATGAAATGACCTGAGCATTACAAGTTTATTACAACCAGATCTTGTGTTTCCATATAAGACGTGGCTCTTAACTTCTGGCTGCAGTGAGTTTGAGGGGATTTTCTATCGTGGCTCAGTCACTCCCAGCCGACTGTGGAGTCCAGACTCTCTGCAACTGAGCAGTGGTGCACATCAGTAGCTGTAAACGTCCCTATGGATCAAGCTGTTTGTTTAGGCCATTCGGAATTGGCGCTTAGCGGCTGCCTGAATCCTGTACGGAGAAGGAGCTGCTGAGGTTAGTGTTGTCTTCATGGGGCTGAAGTTGGCCTCCTGTTTGGCAGCTTCTTATTTAAATTTTCCATTTCACCTTGAATGAAGCAGCCGTAACATGTACGTCCTTCTCCATTTAAGGTGGTAAACTGTCTCTGGGGCAGGACCCCTCTTGTCACTGGAGTGATACCCACAAGGGTACATCTCAGTACCTTTAGTCAGGGAACATAACTGTACCATAATCCACTGAAATGATATTTTCTAGGTTGTACTGACTCCACACACCCCGTCTCATCTCCAGGTTTTTATTTTATTGTTTTAAAACATTCGGTTATGAAAAGGTGTTTTCACCTGGAAAGACTTATTTAAGGTGCACAATTGGACCTTAAACCCACTGTTGTACCTTTGAGGGCACATTTATATTGTTTGTACCTTGATAAATGAAAAATACCTGCACAGAACCTTTATTCTAACAGTCAGTGTACAGGACAAATTCGCAATAGCACACATTTTTGTGCGTATCGCCTGCATCAAAATAAGTGTTTTTTGCTTTAAACTGATGTAAAAATATCCACTTCTCATTCTGTTTATTGTGATACAAACGTATTATTGTAAAAGCTAACAACTGTGGAAAATAATTGCGATCACCTCAAAAAATTGCGATCTTTCACATGTGATTATGTGAACGCACTTGGAAAATAACTTAAAGCATTATTTTGTCTTATACATTGTTAGAAATAAAGGTTCTGTGCAGGTACATTTTTCGTTCATCAGGATATAAACAGTGTGAATGTTCCCTCAAAGGTACAACAGTGGTTTGAAGGTGCAATTTTGCACCAGTTTTCCCAGGTGAAAAGTACATATTTGTACCCTATCATATCCGAATGTTTTAAAACAGAACAATAAAATAAAAGCCTGGAGACGAGACGGAGTGTGTGGAGTCAGTACAACTTGGATTATGGTACAGTTATGTTCCCTGACTAAAGGTACTGAGATGTACCCCTGTGGGTGCCACCCCAGTGACAAGAGGGGAACTGCTCCAGTGACAGTTTAGTGCCTTTTCTTCTGAGAGTGTATAGTACTAAGTTTGTATTGTATATATATTTCTACAAAGATATTTGCCCACATTTCAGGTGCTTTGGTTATAGAGCATATGAGGAAATTATGTGTCTGCACTCTGTGGACAGATGCACACAATTTGGAATAAAGGGTCCCTAAGATGGTCACAGTAAACCCACCTATCCAGACACCACTGCACCACTGTTTTGCACTGTGGCTTGTTTCTAGTCTATGATTGTATTGTGTGTGTGTGTTTGCTGGTGAAGGACTGCAGAAGCGTGACTGTATCACACAAGACTTTGTATGTGTTGAATATGTCAGTATGTGTTGCGTTGCCATAGAAACTTCGACAGACTTTGAGTCATGAAGCCTTGATCTTCACTGCTTCATGGAGTTTTATAGGAGATGAATCCAAAATCTCGCGTTCGCTCACACATGCTGCATATTTATCCCGTGTTCTGAAGTGCTGCAGCTCTTGCATGAGTGGAGCAGATGGGTGAAAGTATGGATGGATGGACAGATTAAAGGAAGAGGAGGCTTTCGTTGGCTGCAGGCACTGACTGTGAATTTAGGTCGACCACACGTTCCCTTGCTCTGTAGTTATTTGAATAGAGGAGTGACTTTTTTTTACACATTAATGATTCAGCAGTAGATCTCGTTTA